TGGTTTTCTTGAAGTCGACCAAAGATCAAAACAACTCGCATTGCATCACGTGCATAAAATATATCATACTAGGGCGAATCATTATATTCGATCCAACTTCGATCTTGTTACTGACGTACATGATTATAATACAAGAAATAGACGATTCAACTTTAACTTACCAGAAAGAGTAGGTAGTATTGGAAATTCGTTTTATTACAATGCCATAAAACATTGGAATTCCCTTCCCAATGGTGTAAAAGAAATAGGAAACTATGATCATTTTAAGAGGAAATTAAAGGAATACCTAATACTTGACAGTCAGAGAAGAGAAGTGAATGACATGTTATATGATTGAAATTGTTATTCTTCTGTCGGTTCATACTTTTTCATGTTGTATATACTTATGTTTTCGTACGTTATAGAAATTCTACAAATTCATCATTATTTTCCTCTTCTTCCTTCTCCTCTTTTTCTTCTTCTCCTTCTTCTTTTTCTTCTTGTACTTAATATCATTTCTATCATCAGTTTAATGTTGTTATTATTATCTTTAATAAGTAGTTCTTTTAATTTTCTTATCTGTCTGTAAATATTACTATTTTAATTTATTAATTGTATACATGTCTGTAAGGGACCCCACTGGAAATAAGCTCTCGAGCTTTCGTGGGTTATCCTGTTCAAGCTGACTTATTTTTGATCTGTTATTATTGTATATTGTTGTATATTGGAAGCTTGTCGAATAAAAATCAATCATCAATCACCCTTTCTGGAGTTAAAAAGTTTCGGGTTACTCCAATCCAAAATTCATCAAAGTGGATTTGTTTTCTATCCTTCGTATATACATACACGTACGGGCACATACAAAAATATACTATCCGGATCTAACCTATTGTGAGCGATATGCATGAATTTGACGTTATTCCAAAATATATTTTTGATATAACTCTCATGATAATTATGCTCTCTCTGTATTTGTTGCCGTATGTCTTCTATCTTTCAATCCATACTCCATTTCCTTCCCTGCTATGCTGTATACGCTACATCAAGTATGTAGATCGGATCACCCTAAAGCATTTGTCGATAATCGTTTAATGCACCTCCTACAACAGCTTTAATTTGTAAGACTTATAATCTCGTCCCCACGTTACTGATCCACATAATATTATACCCTTTGATGAACATTTTTTTAGCAATCTATCTCTCGTTTTTTTCCCTCTCCTTCACCTCTCCTTTTGCCCTCACCTCTTTTCTGTTTATTTTTGTTTTGCCATTTTGCCCCGCCACCCCCTTAGCGATAGGACTCAAGAAAGTGTTATAACTTTTAGAGGTAGACAATTTGTGCAGAACATTAAGAATCAAGAATTTGGTTCAAAGAAAGAGTGCAATGACTTTGTTATAATTTTAAATATGTGTTTTTGTGAGTTTTGTGAGTGTGGGTGTGTGTATGAGAACAATAGAGAGAGAGAGAGAGAGAGAGAGAGAGAAAGAGAGAGAGAGAGAGAGAGGAAGAGAGAGGAAGGGGCAGGGACAGACTGAAGCTTTTATATAGAAGGAAAGCGACTTTATGCGGGGAGAAATCAAAAGGGGAATAAAGGACGGAGATAAATAAAGTAATGGATGAAATGGTGACGAGACGCATCACTAAGATAAATTAGGGTCAGCAGTGCTACAGAAATCAACAAGACTGTCCAGGGGTGGAACTACGGGGAGGGGGGGGGGGGGGGGCGGGCGACGGGCAAAAAAATAACAGGTAAACAAAAAGATGGTAACGTTGATTTTAGCTTTTTTTAAACAAACAATGAAAATGGGCCCACTTCCCGGCCAAAAAAATAGTTTACCCCCCCCCCCCCTCACTGAGCGAAATATCAGTCGGCGCGATTTTCACATTTTGGGCACCCCCCCCCCCCCCCCCCCCCATTGGAAAATCCTGGATCCGCCATTGGGACTGTCAGCAGAACTCTCTTTTATTTAGCTTATTACCAGCCGAATATAATTCCCGTGGCAGATACTAGTAAACATTATGCTTATTTTGAGGATTACATCCCCACCCACCACCGCCTGGTTCTCAATCCCCTCCCCCCCCCCCCCCCCTCCCCACAAAAGAAAAACATTTGAATGGAACGTGTCTGTCAATCCTGCAGCCTATCAAAACCTTCCGGACTAAACAAAATTGTCTATCATATTTGAGTTCACGTTTAATTTTGTGGGAATTCTTCGACCCCGTTCTTGGTCAGAACAGTGAACACACATCAATACCGTATCCAATAGAAATCATGTTTGGATGACGTAGTTCGTCATTGTAATTTCATAGGTGGTGGACGCGGCTCATGAATGTTCAGTGTCATCGTTGAGGGCAAAGGAAGCTCATGACAATCATCCAGTGCCATTGATTAGGAGAGTTTGGCAAACTTGGGTCACAACATGGCGTATATTCTTTTGTTTTGTGCTTGCCCAACAAAGCAGTGGTCGCCATATCGTGACCAACTCGAACCGGGTTTGCCAGACTCTGTGAATAGATGGCTCTGATGACATCTAACCATGTACTTTTTTGCCGTTGCTTGCAATGCCCCCGATTTATACGTGGAAATATTTTATTTCTAGTACTTATATTCATAATAAATATCTATCATGTATGAAAGACCTTTGTTGGTGGAGACCATAGAATTAAAGAATCTTCAAGCTCGGCCATGATATCAAAACAGCAAGTCGTGGAGGCAGATAATGCATTATTTCAACAACAACAATTAAACAAAACGAAGCAAAACGAAACAAAAAAAGACGGAGGAGTGGTCATGAAGTAATGATGGAATCTTAATTTTTCAAATTTTGGTAGGTACGCTGTCTCTAAAATGTGCTCTTACTTGTAATGCTCCCCCTTTGAAAAAAACGTCCCCCGCCCATTTGGTCAAATTATTTCTTATTATAATTCAGTTCACCTTATTCGATCTGTTTCTCCATTGTGAATAATTAAAGTATCAAATCGGGAAAACACATTATTGTATGAAACATCAGTTTTCTCTTTTTATTTGGTTTTGATGTAGTGATGGCGCTGTTCAGCGGGTTGTAGCACCATCAACATTGATCGCCAATCGAATGGACGCTAAACAACATCTGTTTGTAACTTTGTTTAAATGATTAGAATACCAGACTAATTTAAATATAAAGATATAGGTTTTTTCTCCAGTGAATTTCATAGCGTGGAGGGGTGAAGGTGGGGGGGGGGGGGGGGGGGCGGCAGAGTGAATACGTGTCATTTGCCATGGCATAGGGTTAGTTTATTGTATTTAAGGGATTCAAATGCACAATTCGTTCGGGGTCTCGTCACTCTGCGGCACAAGTATGTAGGGAACAGGGCATAAATATCGTTTTTAAATGGTTCAAATCGAAAATTTCAACTCCTCCTATCACGCTCCCAAGCAAAGAATCTTCTTTAATAAACTATGCGACCCACATTGGATGAAATATAATACAGTGCTTAATATAAAAAGTATACCCAACTATGGTAGCTTCCCAATACCTTATTGCTGCCTTAGAACTTTGCTGACACGGATGACTGAGCAGCAGCCTTTAAAAAAATGTTGTCAAAATCCTCTTGTACCAAGTTTGGACTGATGCAATGAATAGAAAAGTAACAATGTAAGGTCATTGAATCATTCAAAATTGGCAAAGTTTACTCGGGGTGGGGGGGGGGGCTCTGCCTGACCAGTTCGCACCTTATAACATGTTTAACTCTATATGAATAATGACAGGGTCCGCTCGGTATTCAAAATGACCGCTATTGATAAGGACCACTATATTCTTAACGACCGCTAGTCATAAGGACCACTATTCATAATTTGAGAAAAGGGTTATTATTCATAAGGTTCATTATTCATAAGGACTGGTAATCATAATAGATGAAGAAGGTCACTATTCATGTGAGAAAAGGGTCATTATTGATAAGGGCCATTATTCATGATATGAGAAGAGGGTCGCTATTCATAATACAAAACCGGGTTCGTTATTCATAGGGGTCCCTATTCATAATACGAGAAGAGGGTCGCTATTCACCCTCTTTTGGTATTATGAATAGCGGTCCTTTTGAGTAGTGACCCCATATAATGAATAGCGCCTCTTCTTCACGTTTATGAATAACGACCCCGATTTCGTATTATGAATAGCGGTCCTTAAGAATAATCACCCTTTGAATTATGAATAGCACCCTCATCTTATGTTATGAATAGCGGTCCTTACGAATAACGGTCCTCGGCGGTCATTATACCTTTAAAGCCCCACTGCCTAAATTATAGCTCCTTGCGCCCTCTGTAATAACAGGAAATGCCTAATCGGTGACCATTGGTCCCCCATGATCTCCTTTTTCTTATGTTAATTGAGAGCTAATGAGATAACCACCTGTCAGTGACCATGCAGGGAGCTCTAATCCCTCCTGGGCAAACTAGTGCAGAGGGACTGAATAGTGACCCCATTTCCGTTTTATGGATAGCGGTCCATCACGTATAGTAAGTTCCATTTTATGAATAGCGGTCCTTACGGCTAGCGAAGTTATCCCATGATGACGATTATATTTAGTGGATATATATACGGACAGCGCGAAGGCAGCACCGGGCCCCGTTTCATGAAACTTGTCATCAATAACAAATGATAAATTTCTATGACAAATTTGTTCTCAGCCAATCAGATGCCACGAGTCCAAGATCGTATAACAATAATTGCAACTTGCTATCAAGGTTTATGAAACAGGGCCAAGATCCATGCACCTTCACCCTTGTTTAGAACAGTTTGGATGCGTCACTTAGGCTGCAATTTTGAACACACTATAGGGTGCATTCTTAACAGTTCTTAATATTGCACAAGTAATGAAAGTGTAAAGGAGTCAGTCAAAGTATATCTTTAAAAAGTACTAGAAATGCACCTCATTCTGTCGTTACCGGTATTGAGACACTTTTGATTTCAAAGTTGAAAATATTGTGTCTGTTTCAAGTTCAGGTGAAGAAAGAAACGATTTCAAGTCATTTTATTATTATGCATGTAGTTTAATAAAATATATTTCTTTGTATATTGTTCATGCCACCACCGTTACAAATGTTCTGTAGCAGTACTGATATAAATAGGAAACCTGGAGATCCTGCTTTAGCCAAAATATAACGAATATACATTACTATTGATGTCTCAAACAATTATCTGTCTAAACATGACTGTATACAGACTGACTGTATTATTATATCATTAAACAAGTATCAGTTCATTGTTTTAGTAGGAGTTGAGATGTGCTGTACCCTGTAACATGATATGAATGTACACGTACATGTGAATCATAAGTTGCATTGTATTTGTACTTAGCGTTGGTAGATAGGTCAGTTTTGTTTGGATGTACAAAACATTCCCCTCCTAATTATATAAAGTTAGTGGTACCGATACTATGAAAAATATATAGTGGTTCTCCAGTAATTCTATCTGTCAAATCTAATTTAAGTCAAAGGTACACAGTTTTAACCTTATATCCTTGGCATTAATAATATTTCGCGATTACTCTACTAGAGGTCTATACATTGTATTTCATCATAATAGCATAACAGATATAACATAAACAATAGAGATTTAGAAGAAAAAAACAATTTCATATATGTATATCGTAGGCCTATATTTTTTTTGATGCTCGTTTTAATTGAATTATTACTTTTACATTATTCATTTACCATACGTATAATAGAAGTAATTTTGTCCTGAATGTAATACTAAAATCCACCACCACAAAGAATAGTATATAAACCATAGCTAAAAAAGGATATATATATTAAACAGCCTTCAAAACTGTTCTTACATGAAAAGACAAGAGTAATAACATTTTGTTCATGCATGATAATCGTAATGCTTACACCAAGTACAGTACTTAATTAATAGCAAAAATAAATGAAACCTTAAAAAAAAAAGGTATAATATCCTACAATCGATGTGATCATTACATGCATTAGTATAGACCCTCTGCATGCAGTTTAGTATCTTGAAACCCCAATAAAAAATATACATAACGTTGACTAAGTAGTATTAAGATATAAAGTGGGGGTATGAGGGTAAAACATGTTACATTGTTAATGCATTTAAAGAGAGAGAGAGAGAGAGAGAGAGAGAGAGGAGGGAGATGGAGGGAAAAGAGACTCTGTAGAAATTTCAATATATTTTATCCTATTACAATCAAATCTAATCCAACCCATGTAACTGTTATTTAATAATTATAAAGAAGAAAAATAAGTAAAAAATAAGAAGACACTTTTTTTTAAAGTAGAAGAAGAGGTAGAAGAAAAAAGTTAAGACATTAAGTTTTTATGAAAGCCATAACCATGATAATACAACTAACAAGATAAATACTGAAATTAAGATTACTCTTGAAACATTTAAATATAAAGTGTAGAAATGAACCTATGATTCAGTGACCATATAATTATATGTGTGTGTGTTTTAAAGTAGCCAACTCTGTCCTAGGAAGAAATATGATACAAATAATAACAAAATGCTTTCTTTCAATATCCCTCATTCCAACTGTAATTTGGCAACTTTTTAATGGTAAATGACTGTGATTTAGCGAGCTCCGGACCAGTAGGTGTTTGGTATAGTATCACTGGTAAAGACCCATTAGCAGCGTGATAATGCCAAGCAGGAGGGCCCAAGCTGACATCTTTATGTTGGTGGCATGGGCACCTACTGGAGCTGTAAATCAGAAGAAGGAAACAAAAGTGATACTAAGTTACAAGTAATATAGACTTTATGTAACGAATGTACTTTTTAATCTTTATCAGTTTATTCTTTATTTATGCTTTAGTTAAAACCAAATGCACAGATTTAAATATATCCTAAGCATTTCAAGGTAAAATACAATGTACCAGTACATTAAATGAATTAATATAACATTATATAACTCACCTTTTCTTAGAATTATTATTCAGTATCACTTTTGCAGCTCAGTTAATTGACGTGATTTGTGTCAATTTTACATTAACTATTACAGCTCATATTGAAAAGAAACGAATGTAATCAACCCATTGTGAAATAAATATTCATTGGTATAACATTGACACGATATACGTTTATGGTACCAGTAGGTCACCAACCTGCTCTGTATACATTTACCTGGGAAGGGGGAGCTCAACATAGTAAAGGTACATAGAAGAAATGAAAAGAGAGAAATCGAAGAGATGAAGAGAGGGAGAGAGAGACAGAGAGTTATAAAATTATTGTTGAACTATATGAAAGGCTGTGAGGAATTAAGATATCTGAACAATATGGTACATACGGATTTGACAAGAGGTGCCGCTGTATCCGACTGGACAACTGCATGTAGGTTCTGCTCCATTTGAAGAGATTAAACACTTTCCTCCATTTTGACAGGGGTCGGGTGAGCAACTGGCGCTAGTTGGTACTGCAAAAAAAAGGATAATGACTGGCGGGTGAAAAAATCTCCATGTAAATCGTCAGAAAGAATTAATGGAAATGATTTTGTTCTGAGGTGAACTCCAGCCCTCTAATAACATGAGTAAGTTGTTAAAAGAAATTAAAGCAGGTTTGAAGAAAATGATACAAATAATAAGAAGGTTATATCTCTTATGGAAGGATTGTAGAGCCACTTGGCAACTCAGTCACTATTTTATGATGACACCCCTAACTATCCCAACAGTTCCTATTCACTACACCTGGGTGGAGGATGACAACAATGTGGATCAATGTCTCGTCGAATTGCTGCGGCTGTGACTCGAATCATGACACACATACTTTATTTTTATTGCTAACTGTGGACAAGACAGTAGCATACCGATCGAAAACAACCTCGAAAAAAAATGATCTCAATGCAATTGGCCACACCGGGGGAAGATCCCGCTCCTTGTTTACCATGTTCATCGATATTTGAAAACCCCTGAAAAGAAGTACTAATTGATCATACTAACCATCGCAATTTGTTCCAGTGTAGCCATTCAAGCAAGCACATCTGTAGTCATTACCAGTCGCTGAGCAGAAGCCATTATTACGGCAAGGATTTGGACTGCAAGCTCGAATATCTGCATGGAAATTAACAGTCGGTACACCCTTCCTGTTTAGTTTGGGGTTATTTTTTCGGAATTTGATCGAATTAACAGTCGGTACACCCTTCCTGTTTAGTTTGGGGTTATTTTTTCGGAATTTGATCGACCTTCATATGTTCGAGGGGAAAAAAGTTTGGGAATAACTTGAAGATTAATTAATTTAGTACAACAAACAATTGATACAATATAAGTCAAATTAAAGGCATACATAAAATACTCACACAGAAGTGCTGTTTATCCCTTGAACCAATATCGAAGAGAATAGATATTACGCTTGAATCTTATTCTACTCATGGACATTATATTAAACAATTTCCATTGACTTTTATTTCTTTCATGGAAGATGTGACATAATTCTTAACTTAAATATCTCTGAGGATTTTGCATAGAGTAATATAAGTTGTTACAGGTAATGAGTCTTCATAGACGATAGTATTGTTGAACATGCATGTATGGACACCATGCATCAAGATTTTCACTGTTACACACTGTACATTCAATCTCTTCAAAATGATGACGTAGACCTTAATCAGTTGATTGGTTGGAAGCGAACATGAGACCATGCATTTAATTTGCCAATTAGCTGTTAACTATCGAATGATCTGTTACTGTCATATATATTTTTTTTGGACAGGCATTTTATTGTATAGATCTAACTTATTTACATGGACGCTTGACCTATGAGATATGGAACGAGGGTAATTTTCCAAAAAGAATACTCGTCACAATGAGACTAATAGAAAAGTAACAGCTTGTGTTGATAATTCTTACTAAAGCCCCCACTGATGTATATTAATGCAAAATATACTTACCATTTCCACATGTGTCTCCTGTAAAGCCAGCTATACAGGTACAGATATATTCACCAGTAGTCGTGCTCTGAAAGCATGATCCTCCATTCAAACACACAACTTCATTACACTGTGATGCGACTGTATCTAATAACATACAATTTGGTAAACAAACAGCTGAATCAAGAAAACAATCATTTTCGGGTAACATATTCCTCTCTTCACTTAACTTTGTTTGACTTCTTCCACAGTGCTTCTGTCTTCATCTCTTGGGGAAGGAGAGAGCAATATAAAGTCATGTTCTTTTTAAATATGGAAACCCAAATGACTCATTGTCTGCTGACATATATTATATAGGAGGACATAAACTGCGAAGATGACTCCTTACCACAACAATGATTATTGAATATGACATTAACCGTGTATTTTATGGTCATGATGGTGCGTATAATTTTAATATACTGGTTAACACCTCGCTTCTCCATGAAACATAAACTTGTAGAGCATCAATCGCAAGTGCTGTATGGTTAATCAATTTTTCAGGTAGGTCAGAAATATTACTGAAAAAATGTATCACACAGACAATGGCCCATCTAAAGACCCGTTCAGACGTGATGCAGTAAACCGCCGCAAAAAAAAAAAAAAAAAAAAATGACGGCAGAAAGCTTATTTTTATTCCTTCTTCTGATATATTTATGGCATAATAATTTTAATCCCTATTTGATTTATAATTTTTTGTTTGTTTAAAGAGGAGTGCAATATTCTATGATCCGTCAATCTTGTGTTTACTAGTCACTTTTGACGGTGGTAAAGTAAATGGGTACTTAGTAGGAAAGAATCCCTTGAATACTGTGGGTAAAATGGGAATGCCATAATTATGGTGTATATGGAACTGAGTCCTAAACAAAAGACCATTATGATCAAAGTAGCTTAATGTATTGTAATCTTAAATATAACAGTTCATCATAATCTCTTCTGCAATCTCTCCCCCACCCCCTATTTTTGTTACTCACTTACCCATTGTTTGACAGAATTGTCCAGTGTATCCAGAATTGCAATCGCAGCTCACAGTACTGCCCGAAAGCACACACTGTCCGTTACCAAAGCATGTGTTTGCATTACTACAAGTAGGTGTACCAGTGTCTGCAGTGGGCCGAAATAAAAGAGGAAAACGTCATGTAAAACTGTGTAATAATTTCTTTCACATTTCATTGCATTAATTGTTATATTTAAACAACATACATTGTGCTATACATAAAAGGGAACATTATTTAAAGTGCCACTTTTCCCTTTAATGCTTTACAAATTTAGATGCGTGAAATAATTGTCATTCTTCTGCCTTTTAATCAGTATTTAATTGAAGAAAAAAACAGTGCAGATGATCTGAATTAATTTGTAATTCGGGAATAGAACACACTTGCTATGCGAATCTCAAATTGACGGTTCGGTCAGTGGAATGTAACGTATTCGCCGATAACTCTCCCGTTTGTTGTGTACAAACACAAATATCATCAATATCTGTTTTCTCCTAAGTACCTTCTCCCTTGGTGCACTACTCACATGTGTGTACAAACATAATGTTTATGCAAGTGAATTATATAAGCACTTATAAATTTATATGAATTGAATAGATTTATGAAACCACCTACTTGTTATGTCACATAGCGTTCCAGAGAAGCCACTATTGCAGGAACAAACAAACCCATTATTCGCGGCTGTAAAGCAAGTCCCACCATTCAAACATTGTATACTATCACACGGCGACACTGCAATTTAAACAAAAATATACATTTCATTTTAATCGCTTATATTATTGCTTAATGATAATAACAATAAAATATCATGAGATGAGACATACCAAGAATGTCGCATAATGGGGTCACGTTAAAAATATGAATTGTCTCTCCTTGCGGTGTACTAGGAGAAGCTATTTACGATCTGAGTCTGGTATTAAATACATGTATAGGATTTCCCGGCCAAATTCGCGAGTTTGTCATTACAATTAATTTGTCTTGCGTTCAAATTCGACGGTTTTAGTGCTGTCGGGTATATCTCGGGTTTATATTCCTTTTTCTTGATTTTAAATCTATGAAGTTTTCGTTAGAATCTATGTATTTTTCATTCAAATTAATGAACAAAGTGCTTGATTCGCTATTTGGTCATTCGATTTAGCGCAACACGATTGTCTGACATCGCGATGGTGTACTTTTAGCATTCTAATTCATTTGTAGCATTCAAATTAGCACTTTGTGCACTAAAATTAATGGTCAATATAAATTTCTCGTTTATTAAACACTTTTTATAGCTCATTCTTTTTCTTTCAAGATCGTTTTTTCATGTGTATTTCATCCTATTTAATTTTCTTGCATTTATACTCTTCATATACTTTTAGATTTATCAGATATTCATCACCCTTTAAGTTTGATTGTTAAAAAAAAGACTTACATCTACGGACTTGATGGTCTTAATATTTGTGTAAATTTTCATGTAAGGAAGTTGTTTGTCTTGTGTTTCATCATAAATTTATCAAGGGTACAATATTGTGACTGGGGTAGGTGTTTTTGTATCCCCACTTTTCCAGGGTATATGAACATGTCCGTTCAGAGATGCCATATCCCTTGATTTCGCCCCTTCTTTACCTAATGTCTGACTACACACATATGCTTTGTCCTCAAAATTAATTGAATACCAGAAAAGGCCCCAATGGAAAATCACGTATTTAATTGCATTTTTTTAAAACTGTAAACGTGTGTTGCATTTCTTCCCCCTAACATTCCTAACTTGAATAAACATAATTCGAATACGAATGACAGGTGTTAATTTGAATGATAAAAATGACGCCTCGACAAGTGACAATTAATTTGAATGCTAGTTGGGCAGTTTCTAAATTGAATGACAGATCTATCAAATCCTTCGACTAAAATCCTAAATTAAATACAAAATCGGGAAAATTGAATGATAATTGGCATGGCAAAGCTGATCTGCGCTTACTTAAATGCAAAGTAAATGAATTCGAATGACAAACTCGCGAATTTGGCCGGGAAATCCTATAATGTACTGACCTGTTTATGCCTACATTGGCTAATTGCATCTGATGACTAATATATAAGTCCTGATAAATCATTGCTATATGTTTTGTGTTCGTTACTTGATACTGTACGCTGTACCACTTACATCCCGTATACAAAATTCATTATGAAGACGTTATACAGCTTGTAGTTTCATGATCTGAAGACAACTTACAATTAATTAGGGCCTATATGTACCTACATTTTATAACAATTTTAGTATAAATCTAAAGACCATTCATAACTTACATCTGATTTCTACTTACAGATTCTATTAGGACCAACAACTTAAGAAATTACAACTTAGGTCAAATTACAACTTACATCTGATAACGATTTACACCCTGTGACTATGACTACTCACAATGTAAATCGTTATTACTTTCCAGGCTTATCTGATGACTACCTATAGCTGATGCTTAGTTTACATTTGCCCGCACGGAAAAGGGGATACAGGCAGGATACGGGCTCCGTAGACTAATTGCAGTCCAAATGTAATCCAGGCATAAACTAGACATGAAGTCTGGTGATTATATAAAAATACAAAATGAATAAGATATCCTACCTGAACAGCTAGTAAAATAGCACAATAACTTATCAATTGGTAAATGTCTGCTTACCTTGTGTCTGACAATTTTGTCCAGTAAAGCCAGTAAAACAATCACACGACACAAAGTTACCATCCTCATCTGGAATACAGGCTCCGTTACCGCTACATTCCTCGTTACATCTCACCACGGACACTTAATGGTTAAACAAAATCAAAAATGTGTCAGAACCAAGAAGTGCAAATTTTAGGAAAGTTGTTAACAAAAAAAGAAGATCAGTATGTAAATATCAGCCTGTATATTCTAGTAACCCCAACCAAAGCCAAATGAGGTGCAGTGGATTATAATTACATAGACACTAGCCCCTTCCCCAATAAACAGCAACGTGGCAGCAACGCGTCGCTTAAAGCCCCTCTAAAGTGTTGGGAGCCCCAAATTCGCCAAATAATTGATGGCAAAATTTCACTTAAATTGTATCATGAAAGAGGATGTCATTTAAGACACACTTTTGCAAAAATAGAAATGCATGTTTAATCAGCAACCAGCAGGTATCCTTGAACTGTAAGTCAAACAGGGTCTAAGCAAGCAAGCTGTGAAGTCCAGTTGAATAGCTCCTCGTCCATGATAAGATGTGATCCAGGAAATGTTGTATATTCCAAGGTATATAACCGAAAGATTGGTTTACATCAAGGACTTATTAGACTGAAGCCTGACTCCTTAATTACCTTTGCAACACCCGAATTTACATTTAAATGAGTAGATACAAAAAGGGCACGTCAAAGCTGTTCCTCCTTTAAAGAGTGCTTTGTTAAAATTCAACAAATAAAATACAAATACAAGATTTCAAACTGAATTTCATGAAAAAGAATTAAGAAATACATAGCATGTGATAATAGAGTTTTGGAGATAATATTACCTAGGTTTTCGCAACGATCTCCTGTGTAATTGATATCGCATTGACATGTAAAGGTAACTCCATTTGATCGGCATATTCCATTATTTCTGCAGGGATTGGTGGCACACTCATCAGCTGAATAATGATTCAATATCAATATATACGTATAGAAAGAGAGGAAGAGAGAGGAAGAAAGAGAGAGAGAGTTAGTTGCTTGAAAACACCAGGTCTTGAGCTTAAAGTAGATATTCATTGATTTTAAAAACTAACTTTTTTTCATTATTGCAAAGTTGAAACTTTGATTCGACAAGGTTATCAAAATTCAATGATTGGAAACATTCGAAGTAATGATTATTATAAATTAAAAAACGCTTAAAACCACCCCCAGCATAGCACCTGAAGAGCTCTCCGAACGCTGCTGAGTTGTGTGAGAGTACAGTATGGACATGATTTGCACAAGCAGACGATGTCCCATGACATCTCACACATTTTCAGTGCCTGTGTTTTCATCTTCTCTTGAGTTCTTTCTCTTACTTCACTACCGTCAGGCTAAATGTATAATCTATTGCCTCACTCTAAACCCCGCGCAAGTTTTTATTTTGATGACAAATGCAGATATACAGAAATAATGGAATCTGTCGCTTGTAAACAAAAAAAGACGCCATTGTATATTCAGCTGCACCCACCGCGGTATGTTCAGCGTTTCAAGAGGGAACAAATGCCGTCCTTAATATCATTCCAGGGGGGTTTCAATTTGAAAGTCTGGTTTCTTTGATTGTTAATTAACCCCTATCCTGTGTATTTACAAGCAAAAGATTGTAGATATCAGAATCGGGTCATATCCCCTTTTGAATGGTTTGACATGCCATTACATTTATATACACTAAACTCATTATAATTTGACATATAATAGCTTTGCAATCATGTTCATTCTCTATGGGATGTCGTCTGCTTGGGCAGTATTGGTCCATATAGGGACGTCATTAAAACATCGTTATTTTTCCGGCGAATCAGTTTCTCGTATATCCCAGCCATAGGCGCCGGAAGTGGGGGGGCAGGGGGGGCAGTTGCCCCCCCAGTCAAAAAAGTGGGGGGGCAAAACGCATTTTTGCCCCCCCTAAACGCCCCCCCCCCCCCTTAACAAAAACAAACAAACAGTAAAGGAGTAAACATGGTTTGTATTTTTAATCAAAAAGAACGTAACAATAATAAAAACCTGAATTAAATCACATATACAATTCCATTCAAAGAAAAAGGAAAGTTAACAGGAATTAAATTTCATAAACATTGCGCATGCCACCTATACGGGATTTATCAATGGAGGTCTCTATATAATAGCGATACGCGCATATCGTGGACATATTGTGCGAGAATGGGAAAGCGTGTCCGTTTTTTTGTTATAAAAGATGAGAAGACATGAGCCCCTGAACGCTGGCGTACTGATGGGGGGGGGGGGGGTGATGTATTTTTTATTCGAAACAAGTGATTTGCAAATGTTGATGTTGTGACATGATTTTCCGGGAATTTTTCTCCATTTTTTTTGTAATTCATACCTTTTTATGCGTTTGTTGGAAAAAAAGAAATTCCCAAATTACAGTCAGGCGAAATACGCTTATTTAGAAGCCTTTAGGTCTTGGTCTGCAAAGTGGCTGGGCTCGAGCCCCCCTCCCCCCCCCCCCCCCCTCCTTTTTGAAAAAGTATGTTAAAGAGAAAAAGAAAGAAAGACGAAGAAAAAAATAAGTGACCTGCCAATGTCACAAATAAGGTATAAAATATGCTCATCTGACCGTAATTAAATGCTTAAAACCCCAGAGCTTACAGGGGCTCCGCCCCCGAACCCCACCAAGGGCCCTAAGGCGGGCCCCTGGATGCTCAACTGACCGTAATTAAATACCTAAAACCACTGCGCTCCCGGGGGCTCTGCCCCAGGACCCCACCAAGGGCCCTAAGGCGGGCCCCTGGATGCTCATCTGACCGTAAATAAATACCTAAAACCCCCAAGATTCCAGGGGCTCTGCCCCCTGGACCCCAACAAGGGCTCTAAGGCGGGCCCCTGAATGCTCATCTGACCGTATTTAAATACATAAAACCCCTGCGCTTCCGGGGGCTCTGCCCCCTGGACCCCACCAAGGGCCCTAAGGCGGGTCCCTGGATGCTCATCTGACCGTAATTAAATGCCTAAAACCCCTGCGCTTCCGGGGGCTCTGCCCCCTGGACCCCAACAAGGGCTCTAAGGCGGGCCCCTGGATGCTCATCTGACCGTATTTAAATACCTAAAACCCCTGCGCTTCCGGGGGCTGTGCCCCCTGGACCCCACCAAGGGCCCTAAGGCGGGTCCCTTGATGCTCATCTGACCGTAATTAAATGCCTAAAACCCCTGCGCTTCCGGGGGCTCTGCCCCCTGGACCCCACCAAGGGCCCTAAGGCGGGCCCCTGGATGCTCATATGACCGTAATTAAATACCTAAAACCCCTGAGCTTCCGGGGGCTCTGCCCCCTGGACCACACCAAGGGCACTAAGACGGCCCCTGGATGCTCATCTGACCGTAATTAAATACCTAAAACCCCTGAGCTTCCGGGGGCTCTCCCCCCCCCCTTGGAACACGTCAATTGCCTTACAGAGGGCCCCTGGATGATCATCTAACCGTAATTAAATAGCTAAAAAGCCTAAGCTTCCGGGGGCTCAGCCCGTTGATCCCCTGCCGAGGCTCATGCTCTGGACCCCACGCCAATTTACCCTCTACCTGATCGATAATACTCCACTTTGAAAAACGTTCCGCGGGACCTGCATGTAACGTGTAAGACTGGTGGTGATGCAGATTTTTCGTCTGCCCCCCCCCCCCTTCCGAACTTTATTTTTCTCATTACGTCACTGCCCCTGGAATGTGAGCCCCCTGGAATGTTTGCCCCCCCAATCCCAAACTGCTTCCGGCGCGCCTGATCCCAGCTGCTATGGAGGTGGTTGTATTTTTATAAATCACCTGATATGTAGTTGACCTAAAACTTGTACAATGGCCATCTGTTAGCTTACCAGTTTCTAGTAATACATTAGTTGACATATTTTTGATTTTCTTTGAATTTCACCTTTAAGGTACACTACAGATTTGGATAAAATAAATTGAATCATAACATTCTTGGGCACTTATCAGAAATGAAAAGGGCAACTATCACAAGTTTAAAAAATGACGCTTTTTCCGGTGAGTTGAAATGGCATATCGGTAATTTCAATGCAGGCACATGGCCGGAGTTTTAAAGATCGGCCTGAGGATGAGCCGGTGCACCGGTCTTTTTTTTTTTTTTTTTTTTTTTTTTTTTTTTTTTTGGGGGGGGGGGGGGAGTTGTTGTTGTTAGATTATGTTTTAAGGCAATTCAGTAAAAAATGACTTTTTATGCCAAAGGGGGGGGGGGGGGATCTGTTTGTTGTTGTTGTATAAAGCGGATCTCTAGTCGAACGCACCCCGTACCCCCTCAGTTACAGACATGCGGTGCCTATACAATTTCTATCGCAAAAATATACAAACAGTGCAAAGTCATATTCAACATTAGTAAAATGAGTGCGATCTTTGTAGAATCATATTTAAAAAAACACATCATGTATATACATTATATCTCTTAATTAAGAAACCCCACACTAATGACTTCAAGATGTTTCACGACTTACATTCTTCACAGAGGGGTCCAGAGAACAGAATCGGGCAGTCGCATAAAACCTGTGTTCCCGCATTATTCACACTGCATTGTCCGTTGTTCAGACATGGACGACTCTCGCATAGAACAGCTATAGGAAAACAACGTAATATAATGATATTGATATTTTATCAGACTATTTCAGCGGAGGAAATAGTAGGACAGAGGTGTAATTGGGAAATTCTGCGATCAGGAATGGGAAAAGGGAACTAATGATCATGAACACCATTAATTTGAAGCACTGTTTAGGGCATTGTGGTATATTCAAATGAAAGAAGGCTTATCATACGAGAGGTTCTGGGTTCGATGCTTGCACGGTGCCGACATCCTTGGTCCTTTATTTATTACAAGATCTAATTCTGATGGTAAAAGTCGGATCGCGCCCCTGATAAGCGAAGTATTGCCATTCTGTATTATGTTCAAAATAACAAAGGATTTTCTTCCACATTACACAAGACATACTAATGATTTATATATTTCATTGTTAAAATACCAAACCAATGATCATGAACACCATTAATTTGAAGCACTGTTTAGAGCATTGTGGTATATTCAAATGAAAGAAGGCTTATTATACGAGAGGTTCTGGGTTCATTACACAAGACATACTAATGATTAATATATTCCATTGTTAAAATAACATACTTCACGTAAATCAGTAAAATATTCTGAAATGATTAGTACTTGGAATGCAATACCCACCGATATAAAAAAAATGTGCCCATCTCTGGCCTCATTCAAACGAAAATATAAACATCTTAATGTTTAATTAGCCTGTACACCACACTTGTTTATGTACTACCCACTCTTTCTTTTCTCTTTACTTTGCATAATTATCTGCGGCCATTGGAGCCCAGCCTTTGGAAAGCCAATGGCCTCTGCTGGCTCTTTCATATTATTTGTAATGTTTATATATTCTCTCATGTATAATCGATTGTTGAATGTATTTTTTTACGAGAATTGTAAATAAAATATATGAATGAATTTTCACCATCTTCACATGTTGGTCCACTAAAGCCGGTTCTACATGTACAAGAATAGGTGCCTTGGTCTGTAGACTGACATGTACCTCCGTAGAGACAGGGGTTCGGAGTACACGGATCATCTGTACACATTAAAATCGCATAAATAATGAAAACAATACAAATTATAAAACACGAATTTAAAAATTAACTTATCTAGAATTTATTGTAAATAACTATATGTGTAATGAGTTGGTAACAGCACAGTTGAGAGTTGCATAGAGGCTTTAAAATTTCATATCTTATATAATTAAGATGTTAATGTTACTGATAAATGTTACCTTGCTTTATTTTGCGGTGTAAGATAGAAAGGACAATAAAATATATCATTACTTCATTATTGAGGTACACAGGAATGATCACGGAACTTGCAAGTTGGAATTTTAGATATAAACTGGCAGTCATTTCGATATGTCAAATCAGCTGCGCTCTTGATCGACTGATTGACTAATTGATTGGGTGATTGATTTACATATTGGTAGATTGTCTAACTAAATAATTTATCAAGTGATTGATTGTTTGATATTTGATCCTTCTGTATGGACCATCCTTGGGAAATTCTTTCTCTGACAGCCAAGTATAATACATAGAGAGAAGAAATCCTCCCCTTCTATAATTGTTTTTCAATCATAAGAGGATAACTTTCTAAGCGTTTTCATGATTCTTAACTTTGCTGAAAACCTGTGAAAGCTCCTTGAAAGACTTCTTGAATATCATAATGCTCTGACAATCGCGGCAGCAAAGTAATGAATGAAGTACAACTTATCGGCGATGTCTAATAACACGTTATTAATTACCATGAAATAAACGTGAAGGTCGAACACGACGCGATAGTCAAGCTTCTAGTTGTATATATGAGTTACCATTGTGATCTATAATGTACGATGTATAAAGCCTTTTTTAAAGAATAGCAACAAAATAAATGTAAATGATATTCAATATGGGCATAGAAATGTAATGTTAAACATGTTACAAGATACAGATAAAATATGATACCTTTTGAGTTGCATACACTGCCATTCTTGGAACATCTTAAATTTTGTTTAAGTAGGTGTGTAAACGAAGTAAATCTTTCTTACCAATGTTGCAGTGGCGTCCAACCCATCCTTCTGTACACTCACAAGTATAGTCATTGTCACTGATTGATACACACCGTGCACCATTCTGACACGGCATTGCGGTGCAGGGTTTCGCTAATAGATTAAAAACAAAGAATAAACAAAAGGAAAGTGACATTAACATGTCACCGCAATGTTGCAGCTAGCACTGGGACCTCACTTGAAAACAAGTCCTTTCTATCTAACACTTTTATGATAATTCTAACTATGGGAAATATATAGTGTATAATGATAATCCGACTGGGAAATTTCTGTTGGACTAATTAGCTGTTTGTTGAAATTGGAGGATATATTGCCTTTAGGGTTAGTGTTATGTACTCTTATCTAGAAATGTTCTAGTTAAATAAATGTGCAAGACATCGACCTTATAGCGGGGAAAATTTAAGATCAGATTCAATTTTTTTTTTAAAATCTTTCAGCTTTTTGAGCGCGCTCTGACCCTACAAATTCACACTCACCAGGGCGTGTATGCGTGCGTTTTTCTTTAGAGCTAGTGTTACGTGACACTATGACCATCAATAATTTATCAATACGTTATCAATATCTCTACAGGAAGTAAACATTAAGTTAAAATGTCTACAAACTGCATATTTTGTCAAAACTTCGACTCATACAACTTCCAAGTAAGTTCATGACGCACTGGTCATTTTATCATTTTGATGGTCTTCTTATTCACAACATCACTCCTCTCAGATAATATAGTTAGGTACACAGACGGCTCCAACAGGGAAATGGTGTAGAAAACCCACTATAAACAATACAATAAAATATGGTCTAGATTTGGACCCACAGAAGACCACTGTTTTTTTTTCTCAATACCAAAACAATGATACATTGTAGGTATGAGTAGATGCTTTTATTGCCAAATATGTCTCAGGAACCCCAAATCAATATGAGTGTTTCGAGAGCATCAAACTATAGTTACACGACATATACATTTTTCACTGTATTAATTAAACCTATATTAGATCTTTTTTAATAGGTTTAAGATCCTTTAAACAAAATTTAAATCGTAAATATGGGCCTACCGAAGGGCGTACTGTTCGTGCTTGAGTAATGTATTGATCATTAACAATAGTACACGTTTAATTATTGATAAAGAATTTCATATGAAAAACCTTATTCCGAAATTTCAGCATTCCAGGGGAAATTTTGAATGATAAAGTCAAAGTTTGAAAACACCTTTCTGGTGAATGTGACAGGCTTTTTAATTCAATCGTTTTAATTATCATTATTATATATATATATATATATGCCTATATATATTTATTTCAATTGTTTTATTTATATTTCATATATATCATTTCTTTGTGACGTAATTATTCGTGTTCTCTCTCTATCTTTGCGCCTTGTCGCATTTTAATATTTATGGGGATAGGATGCGCATAGTTTGACGCATAACAATTTCGAAAGTCAAGCATAATTATTACTTGACAAAGCCCTATTAAGGGCGAATACATTTCGTAAAATAATTTCTTTTTTCACGAAGGATCATTATTTCTCGTGTTTTTTTTTATATCTTTATATACATTTATATATATATGTTTTCAAAGTTGGAACATAATGGATTACGAGCATGTAAACTACTTACCTATTTGACAGAATTCGCCTGAAAAGGAAGAAGTGCAATCACATCGTATGTGCTCTCCAGTAGTCGGATCAGACACGCAAGTACCTGCATTCCGGCAAACTGACCCCAAACATCCACCAGCTGGAATATATCAATAATAACAAAGACAAGAAACATGTTATCAACAACTTGTAACAAGCAATCACTGAATATAGCCAAAGGCACATAATTTGTATATCTTGTTGTTTTTGTATCCGTTAAATCCTGCAAAGATCCATCGAAATATGAGGAAAAGAAAAAGAAAAAGAGGAAAAAAAGAAGAAAATATTTTACAGTGAAGAAGTGGCAAATGCTCATTCGACATTCCTTAATCTATTAGATATGTGATATTGGATGTGGACCATCAAGTATTCCCAATGTCATATGTTAGTCCAAGGCAGTGGAGCATTCGTTAAGATCATATAGGGAACTTTTATATTCCTTGTGATCACCAACTACGATTTAATACTTAATACTGTTTATTTCATAGTAACTGTCAACTACCATTTTACATATATATTATGGTCTAGTTCCAAGCGATCAAAGCGAGCGAGCACAAATGTATAAGATGTATGCAAGCCGCTAGTCAGAGGCTGTGAATGATATAGTTTATGTATCATTAGTAAAATCGAAACGGAGCAAAAACAAGTTCTTTTGTCTTGTTATTTCATAATTATGCAAGATGAATCGATCATAGCATTTGACGTTCACCATTCAAGATCTCTAGACTCAGAATTTTACTGAAGTTCAAATACTCTAGCTACGGGCATGAAATGATCACAAACGATGATTTGTCCAAATATAAACCTTGTCTAAACCTTACCAAGCTCACAGTTAACTCCAGACCATTCGTTGAGACACATACACGAGTAGACAGGTGGCAGGCCCGTTGCTGGCACAACCGACTCACACATGCCTTCGTTCTGGCATGGATCAGAGTTGCATGGGTTTTCTGCGTAAAGAGAACGAGATGACATATATGGGGTGTCTCCAATACAACAAGATTTTGATTAGCAACATCTTAGAAATCATTTAACAATCCTCATTTCGTAGGTAACTTGTTGGTAAAATCCCCTAGACTCCGTGTAAATTCACAGAGGATACATGATACACTTCAAAATTATAATAATTTTTATAAAATTTACAATTTCCAAATGTTACATTTCCTGAATGGCAGAGGAGTCTTCGGTTTAGAATAGATGAGGAGTTGGTTTGGGGATGTGACTGAGAGCATCAGCGCACAATCAGCATATACCTTTCCTTATTGCATGTTCGCTGCAAACATTTCCAATGAAGCTATTCTAACTCACAATTTCTTAGTAAAATCACCAGTGACACTTGTTAGATTGATAAATCATTCGTACAATGTCATTAAAACAAATCTTTTATTAACAAGTAGCAAAATCAATTATTCCGAGAAGGTTTTAAAATATTAAATTATGAATTACTAACTTTTTTTACACATTTATAAATCATTTCAATCATTATGGCGAGCAATACAGGAAACAGAAGTCATTGTTAAAAATGAAATAGAAACTGTGTTCTTAGGCCTATTCAACTATTCAAAAAATTATCTTTAATTTATGCAAAAACACTAAAGATCGATATTATGATATCCATTCTCAGAGCATCTATAAACATTGCTTAGAATGCCATTTAGGTTTTTCCACAAATTAATTTTATGTGATACGATAACTATAAATGGCTTTGAAAAAAAGATACTAATTACATTAAATTACCTTGATGTCTTTGTATATGAAAGTTATCGTAATTCTTATCCCCTATTGTACAGTCGCCAGGTTTGCGCTTGTAGGGCACTACTGCTATTAAACTTTTCTTTTTTGTTTACATTTTGTGGAATTATTCTTCGCAAGGACTTTATCCGGGCTGTCGGGCTTGATCATTATCAAGCACACATTTACCCCCCCCCCCCCCCCCCTTCGCATCTCTGTTCCCAAACGCCTTCTGGTTTCTAATAGGACGGTAAAGCTTCATGAACACATGGAGAACGTGAGGTTTGCAGCTGAAAACCCTTTTGATGAACTTACCAAATTGACAAAACTCGCCGAGACGTGTGGATGGACAGGAACACCGGGAAAATTCTCCAGTGGCAGAGTTGTGCTCACATGTGCCTCCTACGCAGGGGCTAGGGTTACATCCTCTGGCTGTGACATTAAAACAGAAATATTTGTATAGCAAACAAACAAACAATCAAACAAACGAGCAGAAAACTCTACTTTTCATACAGAAGAACGAGGCTCGTCCTGGTTCTTTTGAATTATAGGCCAAGACTATGATTAAAGCTTCTGGAGAGAAATTAGAGGAATAGAAGAAAACACACACAAAAAAGCGATGGGCCGTGACTCCTCCTTCTTATTCTTCTTCTTGTAATCTTCAAAGGCCTATGATGCTTATCACGAAGATGAACTAAAGATTGCGAGCAGTATGAGGAAGATACAGGAGATTTAATTGGATAAGAGCATGAGATGGCTCGGTGAAATATAAATGCTTAACATCACTCGATTAATTCTAATTTTGTCGGTTGATGTATTGATCTGCCGAACATGCCTTATTTATATGGTATTGAGCGTAATAGGTTCGCATTAATAGGCTGTCGGATATGCGCTTCAAATACCCTAACTTTATAAGGCCAGTTGCTATCTACTTCTGGATATATTCATACACTATTATCAACTTTGTTTTGCACTAAGCAAGAGATATGCGAATGATTGCTCCTATAAAATGTTCAATAAATGTAATATAATCCACTGAATTGCGAATTGATGTGAAGAAAGTTAAAAATAATGATGTGTAAAATTTGCCCAGCATGTTTTTAACCATCTTTTGCGCAATTAGTGTATGTCCAACAAGAGTGATACTGCTTAATTTGTAGAAAAGGTGATTGCAATTCGGTAGTGCAAGTAGTGCATAAATTACCCTCAAGTTGGTCAGACACGTTAGTCCTCTTTTATTGGGTAATTTTTATACACAACATTTTTACAGTGTATGATATACATTGATATGTCTATTATTAGCTTACACTCTTGATAACAAGAGTTAATTCAAACACATGTATGAAGACAGATCAAGTCGATATAAAGTGAGCTTTTGATTATGTAAAAGTTTTTGTTATAACATTCCAGAACTGAAAATTCGTTTTGTAGAGCGGAAAAATAAGAATTATACGTTTTTAAATTCATTTCTTTACAAATCCTTATAAATATAATAATAATAATAATAATAATAATAATAATAATAATAATAATAATAATAATAATAGGCATTTCTATAGCGCCATCTATCTAGATAATTCTATTCCGAGGCACATTTATAGGCTAATAACCTTAATCTGATTTGAATTATAAACGAAATTAAAGAAATTAACCACGTGGATTAAAAACGAACATACAACTGAATCGCTGGAATGAGACCATTCATGAGAAACAATTAATGTTGCTTTTAAACGGTTCGACTGCTGATACACTTACGTATTGTGCACAAGTCTCCGGTCCATGAATCTGTACATTGACATGAGGCCTGAGCTCCGGTGGCTGTTAATACAACTTCACATTGAGCGCCATTTTGACAAGGGTTGTTGGAGCACGGATTCGCTGTAAAATAAAACAATATTACATCAAAGTGTAATATAATGGTCTTATACAAACAACATATTGGATAGTCTAAATAACAAACTACGCAATTACTTGGAATCAGGTTTAAAATGGCGATACTGACCATGGATTGACTAGTTCACATTCGATAACCTTAACCTAGGAAATTAATTTGCTTCCATGTTAATTGAACTAATTTTCCCACTTAGATAAAAAAAATAATGAATTTTGATGGTATCACTTATTATAGTACTTATTTAAAATAAATGGCACACGATTGAAATTACTAGGTTTTATCTAAAGCAAAATGTTGCCAGTGTGAAAACAGTATAATACTTGTGAATAAGGCCCGTTGGAAACCCAAGTCCGACTTTTCTTCATATTCATTATCCGTTAGCCAATAAAATGGTGAGGAAAAAAGTTTTTGAGGTTGATTGTGTACATTCTAGCTGCATACAAATTATTTGCAGGTATAGGCCTACAATTTAAACTAAACGAATTATCATCTCAATGAACCAACATATTTTAGGAATCAGATAACATTCCTATTCGATCATGAACAGCAAGGGGGTTTATAAAACTGCACAAATTCGATTTCTTTCACAATGACATATTTTTTACGACATGTCTTTTCGGCAGTTTATTTCTACCGACAAAAAGAGTAGGAATGTTTTACTCCCGCTCCCCCTTAGCTACGGTCATGTTTTGAGCGAAGACAAATCTTTGAACTACTTACGATATTGGCAATTCATGCCCACATAAGTTGAAAGGCAGTTACACGTGTATGTAAGAGTAGTTGCGTCATCCACACACGCTCCACCGTTAAGGCACGGTCCATTTTGACAGGCTAGTCCTGATGAAAAAATATGGTCAAAGGGAAAATCAAAGGTTTTAACGATAGACATCAGTATTAGTTTATATAATTCATTTACAAAAGGGATACATTCTGTTTTGTACTAGTTGATTTAAGGAAGTTTTCCATACCCCAAACAGTTTCCTGCCAATAAGTATAAGTCCTACATTTCATCTAATACTACACATGTAGAAGGTCAGCGGCGTAGAATATGTCGTAGCATACGGGTTGGGAGTAGTTACTACCTTTTTTCCGTTTGGTCAAAATATAACACCTTCTACGAGAGGGGAGCTTTAAAAATTGTATACTGCCCTATTATCTTGAACGAAGTATCACCAAAGAATCATATCCTAAAGAGGTTTACAGTTACATTTTTTTCTCTAAATAAGTATCTAAAAATATTTTCGGGAAAAGTAACTTTCGCTTACTGAGACTCTCTTATATATGACGCGATAGCCGCCGCATATGATCTATGTGAATAAGGTGATAGACCGTTGCGTTATTCAAAATGTCAGTTGTTGGTCACTTGAAAAGGATAATACCCCGTTATAAGATTCAACTGCTAATCCGCACCTAATAGCACACACGCTCCCCTCCCTGGGGAATATTCCAACCTGGCACCATTTTGAATAAAACTTGAAACTTGAAAACTGAAACAAGCGCACATGTGCCAATTCAACCGCATTAACGTTAGCATCCTACCGTATACCCATTCAAGCGAGTGGCAAATATAGATGAATTATTGTCAAAGGAGATAAGTGCTACAGTGGGACTCGAACCGAGAACCATGTGATCCACATTCCGGTGACGTATCCTCTATATAGACAACAATTACACGTCTGTGAGTTAAATACAAGGCTCAAATTGTTCTTAAAATATCGCAATAAAATAGTAATAGAAAGCCTTTGATTACACCAAAGTTGACCTTTAATTCTAAAACATGTGTTCTGTATGTAGGTCCAATTTTGCATACAAGAGGTGAAAACATGATATCGGTCAAAGTGAGTGATAGATTGGGAGGCAACCTAACTCTTAAGATGGGGACAACTCGTTAAATCCTCTTCCTGGCCGGGATCGGCCGATTGGAGTCCTTAAAGGCTAAGTACACTCCAAAAACAATTGCTTTTAATGGATGCAGAAGAACAAGAAAAACAGCAACAACAAAAATTGAGCAAAATCGGATAACTAATAAGGAAGTTATGAATTTTTGAAAAAGTATGACAAATTAATAAATTATTAAATTGCCAATTTGGTTATCAGTTTGTGACGTCTATTTTTCAATTGCTTTATATATACATTTTTATCCCATTAATTTCCCTTTTTATTCCCCCAAAACTTGATTCCCTAGTATGCCTTTGCCCAGGTTATAATATTGCGTGCATGACATTCCACAAAATCTTTATGAACTTTGAAGAGTTGTTGATATTTCCTGAATATTGTATATTCATAATCATTGATTTTTATATGAATAGTTTAAAATGCCCTTTAAAATGTAAAAGCTAAACCTTGTTCTGAAAAGGATATGATCTTACTGTCTTGGCAAAACGAGCCTACATATCCAGGTAAACAGTCGCATCGTACAAAACTCCCTGTACTGATGTCATGGACACATGTACCACCACTCATGCATGGTGTGGTAGGGTTGCATCCGCCAGCTGTGTGAGAGAAAACAAATATGATTCAAGTACAGGACTTTAAAAAGAATTATTGTTATCATCATCAATAATAATTATCATTTGAAAAGTGTTTAAAGAAATGGTATGCAAACTTACTAATTGTTGTTGTTGTTGATAATTGCTAAAAGCTTTCAAAGATCCAAAACCCAAATTAAAACTTACCTAGTGCTCCATGTTAAATAGTTTTTAATTAGATTTATTTCTGTGAAGTCGCTTCGAGTTTCTGACGAAAAAATTAGCATGTTGGTATAAATATGGCTTTGCCGATTCATTAAATAAGGTTTTTGTATATCTAGCTTTGCAACTAATAGAGTTTCAGTCTTGTTTGTATAGTCTTTTCAGCTATATTGCGAACTCTCTGGTTCAGCAAATTCATATTCTTCTGTATGTATTTAGACGTCTTTCGATTTTTCCAGGCTCACATTAATTTTCTCTGATCAGTTTTGAGTTGTCTTTCTATTATTTTTATTGCTCCATCTACCTGGGACAAAGAACAAGGACATTGACAACTTTTTTTTTGCAATTGGCCATGGTATTTATTACTTGTAATATACCAACTTTCAATCGTCATTAGACTTGTGGTATAACAAATAATTCAAATGAAAATAGTTTGTTAACTTCACAATGGACAACATTATCAGAAAAAATACAAACAGTAACGGATCATGATTAAACAGAGAGTAAACAGTTTAGATTGGCCTAGGCACCCGGCCGGGATTTGCAATTGATCATGATAACGTCATGAGAACCATCGCCCCCAGGCCTTACGACAGTCGACCACAATTATAGTCCACTGTCTCACGATCGAAGGTATAACTCTCCCTCCCGCTAGCTGGCTCGGATTTTCCGGCTAACGGTCAGGGAGGACCCCAATTTAAATAAAAACTAATCAACGCAGGTCTCTGGCCTGAGACACGTAAACGTTCAAACAAAAACTTTCTTGCCTAAAACTGAGGATAACTAAAGGCTTTACTGGTCATCCTCAGCCTACAAACAAAGTTTAAATGGGATGTAAACAATAATTGCATTAAAATTGTCCATCATTAGCTCGAAGACTGTTCTCTTGTAAACTGGTATGTTCGACAAGTCAAGTAGACCAAAAATACCATGACTGACCTATGGAGCAATCATCTGAAGTCCAGGAATTCACACAAGAACAGACTCTGTTGGAGCCGTCGAAAGTAAGGGTACATACTCCGGCGTTCAGACATGGTGTTACTCTGCATGGGTCATCTGCAGAACAAAACAGAGCATCAATCTTTGATTAATTTAGAGTTAGGATATACACACTGCAAGCAATGGCGTAAGTATGGATGAAATGATGACGCCAAGGGCAAACAATGAAACTGCGCGATCTCTGTCTACTTAAAGAGAAGGTTGAGTTCTAGGAAGAGGTGAAAAATAATTTGTGAGCATTACTCATTCTTATTATGCAAGTGTGGAAGAACATCAGTTAAGACATGTTCCCTGAAAAGCATGGCTCTTCAAATGCCTTCATATTCTAAATATGCATGTAACATCGTAAAAATCGGGGGGGGGGCCTGCTTTTTACGCCACGTGTTCGTGTAGTCCCATAAACATCTTTCTGTGCAAGTGTTTGTAACTTTACCAAGACTTGGCCAAATTTCTTATCATTTTGATGATTCCAGACCCTTGCAATAAACACAAACTCTTATATGCTAGATGATCAACCTTTTCTGGTCGGTTCCACACCGTTTCGTTCACAATGCAATCGCATGACCAGAACTCAACTTCATCTTTAAATGTGCGAGTGAGGGAGTGAAGGTACTGAACCTTAGGTTTTTGACCCTACAAACAGCAATTTGTAATGCAGTTACCTACACAAAATTTCGAAAGAGAGCACTGCAACGAGCGGTAGAGTTTGAATTATGAACACTGATAAGTGGGATTCTATTCTCTTAATTCTGGAAAAATATAATTTAGCAAGATAACCCAAAGCTAAGATTCATTCAAGTGGTAAACCTTTGCATTAGCGAGTTTATACGGTCCAGTATATTGGGGACGCAATATTTAATAAGAGGTCGATGTCAGCCATTTTGCAACAAAATATAAAATATGGCAATATAATATATTTCAAATGTTATAGTGTTATAAAATGCACTTAATAGCATGTGAAGAAGTTATAGAGTAATCCGAGTGATGGAAAATGTAGATAAATAAAAAATCAGTGATTATTATTTCCCAATCATCATGAGGACCAACAGAGCTGATAATACACAAAGATTGGCCAAATTCGGTTTTAGTTTGACACACGTGTGTGCTACATGCACCGTAATACGTCAAACTTACACAATCTATGGTTACTCATACATCGACGACTCTGAGTAACACTTTACAAGCACGCTCTCAAATGAAAGCAATATCAAAATAACCATAGTAGTGATGTGTAACACTTGTTGTATAAAAAGATTATGGCCATAGGAGCACAGAAGAGAAAGAAACAGAGAGGGCGAAAGAAAGAGGGGAAGAGAAAGAGAGATATGGATAGGGAGAAACAGACGTAGATGAGGAAGCGACAAAAGAGATAGGTAGGGAAGAAATGGTAAATTTCAGGTCTAAAGCATAAGATTGTGTTATGGAGTCCGAACTTTGGTGACGAAGCAGAAAACATTTTAATATGTTCTTTAATATGAGTTAAAGTACTCTTTATTACAAATGACAACTCCACCCAACCATCGAATGGCAAAAATAGAGGAAATAAAAGAACAAAGAGAAGAGAAGGGTTGGGGTGGAAATGGAAGGAGGAATATAGGGGGATAGGGAAGGGGAGGTGGAAGGAAGGGTGAGATAGTGATTATAAACACGTTATACAAATCATACATAATGAAAATTGCCTAACAATACAACGTCTAATGTTAGGCTATATTGATTTTAATCTTACTTTTCAGAAGATTACCCTTTGACGATTAAACAATAACCTATCTTTTCCCTGCCACTGATACATAACAATCCATGGTAAAAAGAAAAGTCCCGTCCTATCGGATATTTGCCACAACTGCCGATTCGTAGATTAACAATATGGCTTTCAGCGACTCCATTAAACAAAATGAAAATGTATCCTTTACTCATATAAAAACAAACAATTTTATGAAAATAGTGTTTGCTCGGTCACTAAGTTATGCTGCCAAAAAACAAATCAAACTATGGATAGAGAATGAATTATCCCCTGTTACGCTATTATTGTTACTACTTACCATACTGGCATCGATTCCCAGTGAATTGTGAGGAGCAAGAACACGTATGAAAGGTGTTTGTAACTTGCGAACATGCACCTCCATTCTGACAAGGATCAAGAAGACACGACTTGGCTGGCAGTAATAAAGAAGTGGCAGCGACATGAAAATAACAATTACAATCACGATTAAAATAAGGGAAATACCTGAGAAAATGAAGAAGAAAAGGACTCAGTAATATTCCTATATCTCCTGTCTTTTTAAAGATAATTCATTCATGTCATCAATTAATCACTATTCATACAATCAAGTAAGAATATTATTGGCAAGATTGGAAGGAAGAACAATTTTCCAAGAGCAATTAGAAAAGATAAAAAAAGATGAAATTGGTTGAATATAGGCCTATGTTTACAATAACTTGCACGACACTTTTAAAAATAGCTTACATTATTTTTAAACTAATGCAATATTTTGCTTATGACAGGAACTCACTCACGATGGCCCATTGTGTCCAATGATGATAATTCTTGTATTAAAAAAGCCAAAATGAATGGACATTAAATTAAAAATACATAAAATCGATATGCTTAAGGAGAACTAGAGAGTAGCTTGGAGGAAACCATTGAAGGTTCCTTATTTAGTACAAATATATATTTTTACCGTCCATTCATAAGTACTAGCCAAATTGATGCGCAATCGTTTGATTTCATTTAAATGTGAAAGCTCCTCAGAATTGATATTAAAGTTCCTAATCATTTTTTTTATTTGAGGGATTCTAGATAATTTAATATGGGATGCTAAACGGAAGCGCCCACTAGCATCAATTAGAATAGGAACCACGCATGGGAATCATTATACGTGTGATCAGACCAACTGCAGGTCCTGAGATGAAACGCAACAAGATATAATAAAAAGGGAGAATTAGACGGAATACCAAACGCGACAATTAGCTAGTAAAGGCAAAGGTCCTGCACTGTACAAAAGTTAAAATGGTTGTGTTATAAAACCGGTTATAATTCGATGACAACATTATTTTGCAACACCACATTTGCATTCGAAAACGATAATTTTAATGCTCAATTTACGAAGCAAAGAGGTGAGATCAACTCTACAAAAAAATGAACATAAAAAACCCGCCATATTTTATTTCTACCAACTTCTTAAAGTCGCTGAATATATGTGAGTGCCTTTTCACGAAAAAAAAGAGTAAAACTCGAGCAAAAGTATGCTCTACACTGTCGTGTTTGAATTTGAATGACGCCCGAATTCACATTCATGCGTGACAGCTTTAGCGTGTAGTCTTGCTCGGATAACACTTTTCCTTTCATTAACAGGCAGTTGGGTAAGCAGCATGTTTACTTACAAAAAGTACACCCAATGATCAAACTCTATGCATTAGGTATGAACACTTACAATTTTGGCACATGGGTCCGTAGTATTCTGGGGCACAGGAGCAAGTATAGGAGGGTGTTGAAAGACCTCTGTCAATGGTATCGCAGACACCACTGTTTTCACATGGCCCAGAAAAGCACGGCGATACTAAATGAGGAATTGGAAAAGAGACTCTATGAAAAGTACGAAAGTTTAAGAACTTATCTCTTGACAGTTGTCGTTGAAAAAGGTGTCACATCTGCGACAGTAGATTTTATTCACATAAGCATAAAAGTTAATACACTTTCTACAAACGAGTAGAGAGAAGCAATGAAGATGAATAAACAAACATTGTTCAATACAAAAAAGAAAACGAGTGTGCTTATTTGCGCTCGTGACAATATATCGTTTCCCCTGTTGTAACCGGTGTTCGGAATACTCAACTACGATACCTGAGAAGGAGGATTGTGTATATTTTTCCAGTATAATTGGCATTATTCGATTATCATTATTATCTAGAAATATTGTCATATTATTGCTATCATATCATTAGTATCCTAGATATATTCATGGATAACGTCCGTTCCATGCATCATGAACTTGATTCCCGTCTGGAAGTTTTGAAAGGTTGCCCCTTCTCACACTGTAAAAAATGGCTATGCCACTACCTCTACAATAAAATGGTTAAGGGCAACGAGAAGATTTTATCAACTCAGCCTCAGCTTAATGTACACCATACCAAAAATTGTGCCTCTTATACAAGATCAAAGGTACATGTATACACCTATTCAAGTATTACAAATAAAACTGTTCATACTTCATGGAGCAGAAATATAGGTATAACAGTCATGATTACAAAGATACCAGCTTTATAAGTCCCGCAGCATGGTGCTGAATATTCAAGGAATTGTGCAAAGGTTCATGAAATCACGAGGAATGGCACAAAGATAGGATTTTTAATTATTCTGCATATCAGGAAATCAAAAATTTGGTCCATGTGGCCCGCTGTGCCCATTTAAATAAGAATGGTCACCACAAGGGTATGTGGTCCCGACACTCTAAGTTTGTTTGTTTGATTATTTCATTTTAGCACGGTGGAATACTTCAGCCAAAGGCTGTTCTTCAGCATGGCCATGTTCGATTCAACTCTAAGTTCAATTTTAATATAAAATGCGTCCTAGAAAAAATGAAACCCAGAATTATCGATGTTTTATCGTAACTTAATCACAATTATAATTAAAAAATGACACATATTTGTAAGGCTTAACTCCCCTCCTTTCATTTGATGTAACTCATATGATGCATATTCCACGCATGAGTGGATTAAAAGGAATTTGAAGAGAGGGTACCAAAAAAATCATTTTAGGGTGGTATCTGAATTTCAAAGAGAAAATCACATTTCTAGAAAGTTCATTTTCTGCCCTTTCATATGACACCTCAATCAGGAAAAATGAGCCAGGAATAACAAAGTTGTTTGTTTAAAGTAATGCTTGCATTTCTCTAATTTGATTAAACGAATTCGTTTTCACTGGCTGCCTGCCATAGCAACAAACAGAGTTGACAAAAGACTTAACTCCGTTTCGTTGACGATCAGCAATGCGCAAAGAACACGAAAGACTTGATGCACTCGTGGCAATTGTTTTATCATTTCGTGTACAAACAAAAGAAGAAAATTACACCGTTTAACGCAAGACAAGATTACAACCTTTAAGAATTCTAATAGATGCCACAATAAATACATAATTTAATGGCAACCTGTTCTAAAAAAATCAAAGCATAAGAGAAAGCAGTATAATACCGAATTGACATGTATCTCCAAGATATCCGGTAATGCAAGTGCAGAGAAAGCTTTGGTCCTGGTTAGTTGATGTACATGACCCTCCAAACTGGCATGGGTTTCTGGTTACATAACACGGAATCTCTGTAAACGTATCAACGAAAAACGGTTGACTAGGCAGTTGTCTGACCAACCAATATCAGAAAACTAATGAATAGATGTAAAAAAAAATACACAGAAATTAAATCACTTTTTATACGTTCATTATCGGTCGTTTTAACCATAAAAGATGTTTTAGAGACTGGAGGTAGTATGACGTCCCACTCAAAGATCTGAGCCATTGAGCGATCGATCGACACGAAATTGTGCACACGCCTAATTTAACTTGTTTATTTTGTTTAAATATCCTGGAGAAAAAAATCTTGATTATTATTTCACCGTTTAAATGATATGTACATGTCTTCTGTATTATCTACGTTATGCAGTGTCCCAAGTATAACAGTGACAGTGCTACCTAATTGGAATAATACCAAATGAATAAATGAATTACAGCCCAATTTGGTTTATGAGCACACATCGGTTGATATTCAATTAGGCATATTATTACCAAAGCTATCAACGGGAACTAAGAGAATATTATATATAAGATTAAAATATGATAAAACTGCATCATCTTACATCATACTTCTTATCAAAATAGTCATCTTTGTTTGTGTTGATTTGTAGAAGGCAGCCCTTAGTAAACATAATTGAAATTTTAGCTCATATCAAAGTGTTAACTCTAGATCGCTGTAACGTGTTTTATGTATTTCATAGAAATGCAATGAATTTGCAATTTAGATATAATATTAAACATATTTGCGGGCAGATTTCTAGAAATTTTCAAAGTCATAAGTGATGATAACTTATTCAATATTAAGAAATATGTTTTTGGCGCAATTCATGATCTTGAAAAAGTTCTTAAAAATCACATTCTCCGCCTAAATCATTAACAATCCTACGGAATGAGGTATCATCTTAGAAATTCTCAATTTTCTCTTAGATGAAACCTCCCACATTGCGAAATTAGTTTCCATTATCAATTTATCTTCAAAATCGTTAAACATTTTTAAAAGTGGCCTACATATTTTTTAAGGTAGTCCACCTAAAAATGCTGCAGGGAATTACCCTGATACGGAAAAAAAATCGTTTACAACATGCCATGTCTAAACAAAATCCCAATAGGGGTTTTCCCTCTGTGTTTTAAAAAGAAAAGTATTTTAAAGCAACAATACAACGAAAGTTTAAAGATAAAGTAACATTTAATGCAAATGTATGAAGTAAATAGATATCAAGCAGAAAGAGGGCACTATCCATATAAACACTATGCACATTTATTTCTACACGAAAATCGTAGAGGACATGGATAATTTTGTTCACGCTTCATAAATAAACTAGCCTTGAGGCATCAATAGTGTTACATATCTTAATCATATTATGTCGATAGTTTAAAGGCCCACTACACTACTTGTAGCTACTTGCGCCCTCTATATAACAAACCGTGCCTAATCGGTGACCATTGGTCCCCATGATCCTCTTTTTCTTATGTTAACTGAGAGCTGAGTTGATGAGATAACCACCTGTCCAGTGACCTTGCAGGGCAGTCTAATCCCTCCTCTAAACTATGGCAGATACGCTTTAATCTACATACTGTACACATAATGGTTATGATTATTTTGTGTATATAATCATTTGATAACAACAAAATCGTTTTAACGGTAGTGCAAACCAAAAATTGATTCTTTGTGATTCAATGATTATTCTCAACGATTGATTTTGGGTCATAAATCTTCGATTTGTGGACATAAATTATAGTGTATAGGACGTATCCATGTATCCATGTATCCATTCACCAAAATGTATGGCTATTTTCATGCTGAAATACTATGTATCTGGAGTTTTCGTAATAACGGAAATGAAGAAGAAAACAAGATTCACCTGGCAAAATACTTACCAGTTTCACAAATGCTACCAGTATATCCCGCCAGGCATTGGCAAGATTGGAAGGTACCATCCGCGTTGGACAGGCAAGTTCCTCCATTCATACATGGGTTCGTCGGTGAGCATGCACCTGGAAAAAACAGTTTTTCAGCAGAAATGTAAATTTAGCATGACACCTAATTACAAATAGGTGCTCTCGATTAGCCTAGAAACAGTTGATAAATGTAAACATGCATTCTAGTTAGGTTTATAAGAGAGGGGTCTTGTTGGGAAGAACCAGAGGCGTACCAAGGTTAGTCATTATGAGGTGTGCTGGCTTTACTCAGTGAACAAAAACCAACGAATGGGTGGAAAGTAGGGTTCGGAGAGTATCGTATTATCTTTTGTTTATGTTTTACCCCTTCGAGTTCCCCTTTTAACACGTCGTATTTGTATACACAGGCCGGGATATATAATACATTTATTTCTTTTATTTCTATTCATACAGGGTTATTTACAAACGTAAATGTACAATGTTAATAATGTATGCCAAAATATTTTAGATAAGAGAGGGAGAGAGAAAATGATTTAAAGGCCCTATCCGATGAGTATACAACTTAATATAAATGGGAAATTGAATGAATGCAGAATACAAATATAAAGGAATACAAATTATTTACCCTTTCATTATTGCACAAAAGCAAATTCAAACCTTATTTCCCACACACCTCCAAATGATGGGTCAAGAGGGGCAAATTTGCCGAAGTTACAGTGTCGACATAACATGTGGACCCCATCGGTTCACCTATAGCTGAGGCAACGAGCCGAGTTTATTTAATCCAAAGTCATTGTGAATATGCTGTCATGATGTCATGAAGTCTATAGCAAGTTTTAGGTCGACAACTTCCGATTTTCAAAGCTTTGGATTTTGTGTTTTCAGAGAGCTGATACTCCTCTGACAGACACTTAAATGGCATGTAAATGATATTATTGTAATCTATGGCTCCGTTGATATATAAATCATCCATTTCATTTTTCTGTTCGGATTTGGTCCTTAAGTTTATAAGTCGGTGAAACTTATTGGAATATGCAGATTTTAACCCCAAGACGTGTTTCTAAAATGTAACTCTTCAATTGATTAGGTAGCCTAATTAACACCTGACTAAGTATCAGTCACACCAATCAGACAAACGCAAGAACGACAACAGACCAAACACAGAATAAAATTACCCTGAATAGACAAGGCTATGAAAGAGGGTTTTTTTTTAGAGTCGGTTTACTGGTGTTAATAAGGTATCAACTCAATCAAATGAATTATAAAATGCTAGCAATTGTCACGCTTACGGCTCCGTCTAAATTACTGCTCAGTTACAGTTATTAAGTTACAAAAGAAAGGACAGAAGAAAATAATTCGTTCTACAGATTTTACACTCGTGAATGCGGTGTTTGGCATCTGTTTTGCAGATGCTGATTATGCATAAAACGATGCACTCGTAAGTACATGTAACTTGGTGCTTATGTGGGTACAAACTTTGACCAATCGTGGATCCACTGCATTTTTGATTGAACGAACCTTTAATTTGCCTAGATTTTAAATTAATAAATTATTGGTTATATTTTCTTTTGATCAAATCAATTGTCCAATTAATTTTACCCAAAACACATTTTCAAAGTCCAGTACTGCCCAATCTTAGCGTAAAGAAATTTTAATTCTGAAGGAAAAATTTGCCCAACTCTTAAAAAGCTAAACTTTTCTTTTGCAGTGATTGCCCGAAAATAGTCAAAATTTATCCAACTGATATTGAGTTAATGAAATGTTGTGTTCTTGGGCAAAATTTGCCCAATTTTCCCCCTTATTTCCCTAACCTGGCTGGATTAAAAAGTATAGTAAACAGTATTTTGCCGTATAGCCATTAACTATCTTCCGGTTGTTTCTATGAGTCTTAATGTAGCATACTCTATCATATTTTAACATGACCTGACCTATCCTATCCTTTCCTATCATAACTTAATATAACCTAACCTATCCTAACCAATGCTATCATAATTTAACACATCTTGACCTATCCTAAACTATAATACCTAACCATCTACAATGTATTTATATCAGTTGCAAACTTCTATATGCCTTATGAAAGTTAAGATGTGTTTGAGTCATTAAATGAACAGGCCCGCCCATGAATAATCATATATCTGTTCGAGAACATATTAGTTCAGTACATCCTGTATACATTAGCCGATCGTCCCCTTGGTACACGGGCCGATCGTTAGAAAAAAGGAAATTTTTCTTACACATTGTAGGAGTAAATGTTTTAGCTACATGTTTTAAACAAACAAAAAACTAACTCTGTGACAACATTCGCCAAATCATGGACCTACTAGTCCATGGCCCAATAACGATGTGCCCAGTTAAATATTGAGCCATATTTATACTACTAAACTTAATTGATATTTAATAAGCAAACGAACGACCGACTTTGTTAGCCTTATCCATTGTTATTCTTTTAACCTCGTATTGGATTGGTTAGTAATGTTTTTGACCAACAATAACTTGCCCATCAATAATGGTCATCAATAATGGTCTTCAGTGATGCCTAACCCTTAATACCAAACCAAACTCTCAATAGAAAGTATGGACAATGGACAATCCTCTTACAGCGTTACCGGTAATACAGGAAATGTTCAACTTGGGGTTTGCTTTTCCAAACACCGGTTATAAAATTGAAGATAACTGTGATCTCATCTAATTTTTCCAACGATCTCTCAGGGCCTAATCGTCTAATCGTCTTTTGTATGGAAATATATTTTATTTCGGAAAGGATATTGTAACTGAATGACACTATTCATCTGATAATACTCACCAACTTCGCACCTTTGTCCACCCCACACCCCTTCACATGCACATGAGTATGAAGTAGTTGTAGTGCCGGCGTTTACAGAGCCACTGCAGATTCCACCGTTCAAACACGGGTTGGAGTTGCACGGTTCAACTATTTATGAAAGACAAAAAACGTGAAAAATCCACATACTGTATAATAAAACCATTTATTAGTCAACTGCAGTAGAGTAATAGAAGGAATAATTTTCCATAATTTTTAATGGCCGTAATTTAATGGAAGAACGTCAAACGCATTGGATACTCGAAATATTTGTGTAATAACGTACGTAGGTCTGAAAAAAGACTAATGACTGAGAATAATTATAATTAATAATGTTGTTCCTGATCGAAGTTGTGTTAATCTAAATAAGCATGGAATAGCCCAATTGTAACGATTATTATGTGGAAATTATCGTGCGGTGCATGATGTAGAATGTTCTAGGCTTTAAAAAAGTTGTAGGGGAAATAAATGAATTGAATTCTACCTGCTTGACAGCTTTCTCCAATGTAGGGATTAATACAATTGCAGTCGTAATTAAAAAATCCCACGTTGGTGCAAGTACCTCCAAATTGACAGGGATTACTATTACATGGAAAAGCTAAAAGAAAATATGAAAGACACAAATTAATCAATACAAATTCTTCGGGAGTATGTATCAAATCTTTTACAATTTCAAATTCATGATAATGCAATATGGAATATGTCCAGAACATAAATTATTATTCAAAATGACAGATTTTTAGCACTCAGCCATGTGCAATACGGATTGCAGATAGACTGAGACACGATGCATATTAAACAAAATGTACAACTTTATTAAGGAATATCAGCTCCATGTCAGCCTGACCGTAACGGTCGGTTTAAGCCCTGGAGCCCACGAAACAGAAGCCAATCTCGGATCGATTTCACCCGACCTATCGCATGTACCATTTTTTTTCAGTAGGAAATGGGATGAACATTAATTTTTTTTTATTAAACACCCACACGCACACGAGCGCAATGAACATATATGATAACAATTTATGCTGAGATTGGTTGTCAGATGACCCTAACATTTGGAAGATAATTTTTTTTCTCCTTAAGGCCAAGAACAAATTTTGTCGGAAGGTAGAGGTATGTGTGTGCATAAGAAAAGTGCTCCACCTAATATGAACTTACCAGACTCGCAATTGGCTCCATAGTACATGTTTGCTAGACAGGAGCACTGCACAGTGGGAGCATTGATCGTGCCTGTTACAGGAAACACGTATGAACACGTTCCACCATTCCGACATGGATTGTTAGTCAAGTGACAAGGATCCTCTGAAGAAAAAAATAAAACAATGTCGGTGAAATATCGGACCATACACATGATTTGTTTCTTCTAATTCGAATACATGTTACGTCACGCAGAAAAGTATGGTAACCTTTTTTGTATAAAGGACTTACCCCCAAAAACAGATGATCGCCATTAAAAACTTTTTCTTTCAAAAAGAAAAACGCTTTGGGGGGGGGGTAAAGGTAAGCATACTGTAAATCACAATGCCTTGCGGACAAATTTACCCTCATGCCCACTGCTTCAGACTTTATGAGTTCGTAGCTGTCGAAAATAGATTTCTTCCTTTCCTGATTTGAGTAGGATGTATATATTTATAGCAGGGAGTTTGCTAAGTAATAAAGTTACCATGGGAGCTCCTTATTGGTTGGTTGCGCTTTGCATTTATCAGGTGACTTGTTTTAAGAATAAAACAAGTTGATATGGTATAAAAGTATTTATGAGGCTTTGACTCGAGACGTTTGAATATTCGTGTTGTTTATGAATGAATGTATAAACTTAATGAAGATGCTATGATAGATTCCATGAATTAGAAGGCCTAAATAACACATAGAAAATCAAAAGCCTAAAGCTATCACTTCAAGAAACTTACCATATGCGCATGTGATTCCAATGTATGGTGAAGAGCAAGTACACTGGTAGGAGAAGGGAGCAACTGTCCCAATATTAGTACAACTACCTCGTCCATTGCACGGGTCGTTGGTACATGGGTATGCTGCATTAGCAATAAACAAGGTTTACATGTAATAAGTCATGCATTAAAAATATCTAAGGTACCAAAGTTGAGTTGTTTAACACACTTGACCTGAAGTGCAAAGGTCGTGAGTTGAATAAAAAAGGGAATGCATATAATTTGCATTATTTCTCAGTCTCCTTGCAGATGATAACATTAATTAACCAAAAATATCGGGGTACATATTTAATTGTGATTTATTCGTTATTTTCAGCGTGTCCTAAATGGTGACTGGCTGAATGTTCCCCATGGAGCTGAGAATGTACATACATTGTTTGGGGGCAAGCCTGATTCTGATGACTAGAGTAATGGCTTATCTGCATAGTGCTTGCAGACTCTGTGCATGTATTTTTTGAGGTTTTCTGAGGATGTGGTGTTGGAAACACTGTTATTGAAAGTTAAAGTGAATTAAAGTATGATCTCGTTTGCATTATAGCTATTGCAAACTATACCAAAGCTGTTATCCATCAATTAAACATAGTGACTGTAATAAGTTGGAAACAATAGCTAGATTAGCTACATAATTTGGTGACCAAATGATTTGGGATATCTTAACGTACCTTTATTCGTTCATTATTTACATGTACACTCTATGTAGGAAAGTGAAAATTTTAACAGTAGATATTTTTAATCAGGTGAAATTACAGATATCTTCCGAAGCAATCGTAGCATCGTATTAAATGGCTCCTTGAATAACTTACCATTACCACAAAATACTCCATAATATTCAGAAGTGCAGGCACAAGATTCGAACCCTCCAGTGCCAGGATCGGTAATACAATTGCCGTTATTCTCACACTGGATATTTGTACATCCAGACGCTATAGAGCACGATTTAAAGGATTAAACGACATGAGATTAGTGAAACATCGTTAGTACTGACGACCACTAAACGGCTACAATACCGTGTCATGATTATCAGTGATTGCACACGTTGTTGGCAGTATTGCTTGACGCGTCATGGAAGAAATACAACGTAGAGAAAGTGAACGAAGGATACAAACAATGTGTGGAATCTCTGAAGCATGCACCCACTTTCCTCATCATCAATAATAAATCAACATCATAAATACTAACGCAGTCAAAATGCAAGGGGATTGCTGTATTTTGTGTAATTTCATGGACTGTCTTTGCAATTCCCGTTTTTTAGTTTCGCCAATTTGTAACAGTTACAAACACTAAAATAGACACACGTAAAATGTAGGCCTGCACATTCTCTCCATAAACAAGAATATTCAATAAATTAAATTCAATAAAGGTTTATTAAACATAACAAGCAGAATTTCCTTGATTAAACTGACTTAATTATGAAAAACGCACTGTATTTCTTTGAACTAAATGAATAAAAATTGCCCATTATTCTATAAAATAAAGAAGAAGAAAAAAAACAGGTACAGAAGCCAAAAGGCACCCGGGACAAAATTATAATAACGCCCTTTGTACTCACGCGTACTGCAGAGGGTTCCTGTCCAAAACTGGCCCAGTGCACACGTACAGGTAAAAGTTGACCCGAAGTTGTCAAACGAAGGATTACAGGTCCCTGCATTTTGGCAAGGGTTAACTGGCACACACGGGTCATCTAAGAAACAAACACAAAACATGAAATTACGGATATATTATATATATATACAGTGCGTCCAAGTAAAAGAAAACGGTAATTATGAGAAAACTATGAGCTATAATTATGAAAAAAGTTTCTTGCTTTCCATAAAGTAGAAGTAATATGCCTTCAACTTACGCTATGAATCCATACATGCTTTACCGAGCAACATTGTTTAAAAAATATGATGTCGAATTGAATTTTTGCCGGATTTAGGTAGGCCTACCATGTTGAAAAACATAAATCCTATTTGATATGACACGCTAAACGCTAAAATGCTTAAAAGGAAAAAAAAAAACACACTCAAAGCAGATTTTAGATCCTTATGGAATGTAACACTCCCATTCATATGCATGCTTGAAAAATGATACATAGCCGCCTAATAATCATATGACATGCATACAACTGTACATATAATCTGGAATAATATATCATCTCACCATATTCACAATTCCTCCCGATGAATCCAAAAGGGCAAGTACATTGATATGCCAGTGTCGCTCCTATTGGATTACACGCTCCACCATTCCGACATAGCTGTGCATCAATGCATGGGTGAACTGTGGAGAGAAAAGGGGCATCAAAATTGGGCATTAAAGTTGTTATATCACATTTCTGTAGCCATGAAAACACGACAAGCGGATCCAGAATTTGGGAATACGGGGTTTACCCCTCCAATCGGCGCACACTAAAATCAGTATATTGGCGCCAACACGGTTTTGGAAATCATAAATAAAAGTAAGGTAACATCAGATGGAGTTCATGCAATTTTCGCGCCTTTCAATGTACTTTTGTCAATAGAGTGTAAAAAAAGAAAAAAAGCGATGATATAAGTTGATGCTTTGTCCGAATATGGGGAAACTGGCGTCTCCCTCCTCCAACTATTACGTCGCCAAGATCGTTACAAGACGCTATTTAAAGAGCTATGCAGATGATAGGATGGGTGTGGCCGCACCGTGTTAGGTACTATAACGTATACACCTCTTCGTGGCTGGACTTGAATCGCGAACCATGTGATCCACAGTCCAGTAATGTATCCACTCGAACACGACACCAATACATCCTATCTCTCTTCTTCCAACGCCGACCCTGAATATGCTACCTTATAATATCATTTAAATTTTCCGAACTTTCTGTAGAGTTTGGTATAAACCATGATATTTTGTTAACGACGTTGGTGGCATTACCGGTTTCACAAAATTGGCCCGTGACGTAGGTATTTGTGGTGGAACATAAGGCTGTGAAAGTACTGGTTACACTGCAGGTACAGGCATTCATACAAGGTTCGGGCAAACATGGGTCATCTAAAATAAGAAAAAGGAATGTAAACAAAAATGTCATTAACTAGTGGAAATATGAAAACATGTCAATCGTTAATCTCCTTACATTTTCTTTTTGAGGATCTTTAAGTAATGTAGCTCTGTATATATGTGTTAGTAAAAGCAATGCATTAACAACAAATTGTAATGGATAAGTCCACTCTAATATAAAATTGGTTTTAATAGAAGCAAAAAATGAGAGGAACGGGTCATTGAAGTTTGAGCAAAATCAAGATTATAAATAAGAAAGTTATGACTTTTTGAAGATGCGATCAATCAAACATAAATTGGTATCTTGCGAGATTCCCTCCCATTTGCTCTGAACATAAAAACAATTCAAAAACGTGCATTTTCCCTAAAGAAAATGTTAATTCATACATGCAGCATACGTTGTAAATATTTGTCCATACAAAACCCGAATGAAACAAATCTTTTCCGTCATCAATAACTACGAAAATGAAAGTTTATGAAATTTCCGTACAGAGCAAACTTGAGAGGAACTAGCAAGATACTTCACTGTGTTTCTAATGTGTGTTTCACTGATGACAGTTTTTAAAATTCGTAGCCTTTCTACTTTTACTCGGATGTTGCTCAAACTGTTACTAATTCTTTTTGCTCTCGTTTTTCTGCTATTATCAATACCAGCTAATGTTTAGGGTGTACTTTTTATTTTATTATGCTGCAAGTCGTACTTTTGAATACATTGGAAATACAGAGTAGTGGGAATCAATGAAATAGCCGTTCATTACATGCCTTTAATTCGTCACATAATAATCCACTGTCCAATAATCCTACAGATCGAGATTACTTGTACTGATGGTAACACAAGATATTAGTGGGAAACTTATTACATATAATTATAATAATAACACATATACAATTTATAACAAGATTTAGATATTTGGAGGAAAGTGGGATTGTTTTTAACATTCACAGTAGCTGTAAATCAGATAAGTTTTCAGTATTACGATTGGAGGGACATAATACAGTTACTCTGTATCGGAAACATATAGGTTAATAAGAAAGAGGCAGTCATCCACTGATTACATTCCAAGAAAAAACACACGAAGTGCCTTGTAACACATCTCAAATACTATACTGCTGAACGAGGAAAAGGGAAAATTTTTCTTAACCAAATACTAATAAATGAAATAACGAAGACTTGGTTTCGAATGATGTCAGGACAGGAGACATGAGTGAAGTATATAATATGAACTAATTGGACCCATAATACACCCTTTAAAAGTATCAATCATGTATAAAATAGCTCAACCTTTTTTTAATTTTTATTAAGGTATCGGGGTCTTACCGATATTGCAGAAACTTCCAAGAAAACCAGAGAAGCACGTGCATGCAGCTGCACCATTTTGAACGCTACATACACCGTTACCATTGCACGGGTCAATAGTACAGGGTAAGTCTATAAAACAAAATAAACAAGAATGAAAACATTACCACGTACAGCCACGAAGAACCAGAACAAATTTTCTAAGCTTTTCTGGCAAATTTTATCTGGGTATAACACTGTTTTGAGAAAAAACAAGGGGCTGTGGTAATTCCATTTGGTTTGATGTATATAACATTTCATGATGAAATATACTATAAACAGTTATATGATGAATAAAAGATGATGACCTCTCTTCCAGTTATATATGATCGCATTATTCAGTTATACTCAAAACTGTTCAAGACAGGAAAATACTATACTATTTGGTCCAGAAATACTATACTAGTTGGTCGAAACAACAATCAACAATCAAACAATCAAATAAACAAGCAATCAACAAAAATAAAACATGAATAAAAACTAGCACTCAAAAACATTTTTGTAATCATATTGATGATTTCGTGAAACAAAATGGTAATGTACCATGTGAAATAAAAGCAAAATACAAAATATATAATACAAATCTTCAGTAATTAATACAATAGATTAAAATTTCAATTAAGCTTATAAATACGATACACATTGGAAGTGGAGGGAGAGGGGGGGGAGGTAAGGATACATCTGATTAGATGCAATTAATTCAGAACAATCGTATGTAAATCTTGACATGTATATCGTGAAGGTTAATGAGAGGAAGGAAATAAAAACAGACGCTTGTTCAATGTGAGGATGAAAAGCACCTGCGATGAAAAAAGAGAAAAAATGACAAGATTAAGATATGATGAGTGATAACATTAAGATATGCAAATGGTTTAATGAACAGATCCAATAGTTAATAGTTTTTCTGTTATCGTAATTGTATAAATTTCACCAGACAGTCATACATTAAGGCTTCCTCACAGGATAGCATTCAACTGTTAAGTGAGCATTTTGTGCTTTTTTGTCTTTTGTTTTGTTTTTCGTTCGTTTTCGTTTCGTCCAGGATCACATATCCACCATTCTACAACTGTGATTGCTGCAGTGCCTCAATTTGAGTATACTGATGCAATGTATGACAAAACAAATGATTTGTATCACTTTAGAAGCTCTTTAAACAAGATGGATATCGCAGGCCTTTTTTTATAGTAAAAATGATAGTAATAAAAAGGAGGTGGGCGCCGACGAGAAACACTTCGTTTTTATTATTTGGCCTTACAAATTCTCCTTGCTCAGTCGTATGTCTTTCTGATATTTTGATTAAGATATCATAATAAGTATGATTTGTACTCCCACATTTTGATGAACACCCAACATGTTATCCCTTCCTGCTAGGTGCCCTTAGTCTATCTCATTAGTATCTCTTGTTATCGATTGTGATAAGTGCCCACTCTATCTTCTGATAAATAACCTCCTCACGTCTAAGTGCCCCTTTCAAATGTGATAAAGACACATTTTTATCTTCTGATAAATGGCATTTTTATCTCTAACTGCCCTTTGAAATGTAATTTATTGCTCCCTTATTAAAAAACTTATGATTAGTGAAACCTTCTTTTAAGAATTACCCTTTTCCCCTTTTGGGGTAATTGTCCTAGATGGGTAATTGACCAGGGGGTAAATGTCCGGGTGGATGACTTACAGGAGTATTTAAATTAACTTTAACGAAAAATGAGCCTGGAAGAAACAATAATCTTTTTGTATGTGAGCCTTACATTAATCTATTTACAACTAAGTGTAACTAGTTAATTTAATTGTTGTATTCTTTTAAATCCTTATTCGAGTAACTGATAATCTAAAATTCGAAAGTATATCACGATATGGACATAATTATATTCAAGTTTTCTCCTGAAAATAACACACTTGAAGAAACTATTCAAGAAATTTTAGGCTAATTTCCCCTAAAGTGACGTGATTTTACTCGACCGTTCAGAGCCGCGGCAATCCATTTGTATTGGACAATTATTGGGTTTCCGACAACCTGGACTAAATTATATCGGTACTGCGTGATTCATTGATCGTGTTTAAAGTTTAAATAAGCGAATCAAATATAATCTTTCCAGACGATGTGCATTTAAAAAAAAATAATAATAAATAAGTGGCGAACCAATAACTTTGGTTTCCCATTTGCATGTCACCCTGTGTAATATACAAATTAGTACAAAACAAATATATGTTAATTTGTCATGAACTTACCGATCTCGCAAAATTGACCTTCCCACAGATTATTACACTGGCACGTATAGGTGTCGTTTCCATTAACACAGGTAGCTCCATTTACACATGAATTAGATACGCAGTAATCGATTTCTATTCGGAAGACACATAGCATTTAACAGATTTATTCATCATATTAAAAGATGACGTGCCATTAAAAATATTTTAACAGCCATCCATAATCTACTCAAATTGTGTAATGATGTAAAAGAGGATGATTTTAAGCAAGAAGAATTGAGCTTGATAAGAAATTTGCCCACTCGCTACTGACGCCTCGACACAGAGACTTACTCCCCCCCCCCCCCCCCCCCCATCTAAAGATTCCTTGCTCAATTTTCACCCCCTCCGTATAAAGTAATCAAGGTTTGGTCATTCCTAGGCACTAGCCGGTATCAAAATTCTGCTGTTCCTTCTCTTGTTCGTACAATTAATAATCTTGATTCTCTCTCTCTCTCTCTCTCTCTCTCTCTCTCTCTCTCTCTCTCTCTCTCTCCTTTTCTCTCTCTCTCTCTCTCTCTCTCTCTCTCCCTCTTTCCATTACCCCTCAGAATCATTTTATTTGATACTTTATATTTTAATAATGGCATTTTATAACTGCTTTTTAAAGTTGATTCCAATTTGTAAAATATATAATTCTGTGTGGTAACCCATTCAGTTCAATTTAAAGGCGTTTATGTTGTTCCAAAATGTAATTTTCCCCTTTATTTGCGATTGTTTTGTTCACTCAACATTATTGTCTGTTTATCTGCTACCATTACCCTATAGCAGGTTATTGATTTGACGTTCTTGACCATTACTTTCTCTTAGTTTATTTTGGTATTGTACTTATTAAATGTATTATTTTTTGTCATTTTTCTTGCCATCTTGTACTTGTTATACCTGTCTCTTTTGCTCACTATTGTATATTAACTGCATCTATAGGTTTATGTCTTTTTAAACCGAAATAAATAAATAAATAAATAAATAAGTAAAAAAGATAATCGGAATATCAAGGACATATAACTAGCATAGCTTAACGCCGGCTCCGCCCCTTCCCCCCCCAAAAAAAAAAAACCTTGCACCTCCACTCTTAATAATTAAAACAACCCTCTTGTAAGAAAACTATTGCATTAAAAAAATTAATCTAAAAACAGTGATGACTGACCTGCCACATACTGGATGTTGAAACCGCTCGATATGTCCCATGGCGCTGCGTTGTTTCTGTCCGTTTCTAACAAGAACCAGGCGAAATCTCCATCCACTTCAAATTTAAAGTTAGACAGGTTTCCATGGAATTCGTCCATGGTAATACTGAGGGAAGGATCAGTACCGTAATATAAAGCGTCTTTGTTGAACTCAATTTCAAAGAAAAGAAAGTCGAAGGCGATTGATACAGCGCCATGGACCTTGACAGAGTAGTAGCCTGTGTATTTTGAAGGGTACACGTCTGGGTAATCAGGGCTCTGGATTAGACCCGATATGGCTGTAAAGTATGTGATCACTGCAAAAGAAAAGTCAAAACGTATTGGTTTAGTCATTGTATAAGAAAAGTAATTTTTAAAATTCGCGTATTAAGTTTTCCATATTTCCTTTATTACTTATGAACTCATTTTTGTAGAAGGCTAATCAACGTTAAGCTGTACTTGGGCCACCGTATCATCTTCTTTGGGAGTTTGTTATTCACTTTCAGTGCATTTCCCAGGTATAAAAACACATTTGACACAGATGCGGCGGGCCGTCTTTCAGTGTGGAGGGCCACTATAGCAAAAAAAGGGCATTGTAATTGCACCTTACATAGGGTAACCTCAAAGCGAAAACAAAAAGCAGCAATGAGACATGGGAGTATACCCCTACATTCTAATAAAAAAATTATCTGATTAGCTAAGATTTACTTCTATATTTGAGTAGTATTCTGCGATTAAATGTGATTGAAGAGATGATGGATGGTACTTTAGCTTGGCATGGACTACACTTGTCGTTGAGGTGTTTGCCCCAGCGAAATAGGTTCTTAATACAAGCATTCAAGGCAACTTTAACTTTAGAGTAGCTATTACCTAGAGTAAATTTTAATTCGTACAATTTTTCATATAAGTATTTATTCTCTACATAACTTCGCCTCTATCATTAGTAGTTTGTTAATGTGCAATGCCTGATTTTTGATATCGATACATTATGATAGTGTTACTATTCGCACTACCCTCTGTATATCATCTTACTATCCCCACTTGAATCTTCATCATCTTCTTAATATTACCATCCTGTTTCTATGCTTTCTTTAATCTACACCACCATCATGTTCTTCTTTACTTTTCTTTATCTCCTTTTTATACAAAAATGAGTTCGGGAGATCAAATAATAATAAGAAATAAGAATTTTAAAGTTAAATATTATTTTTAACAATTTACTCATTCAAGTTCAGTTCATTAATTTGATGTCATTTAATATGAATGTTTTTATATATTGTATTTTACATTTGTAAAACATTGCCCAATTCGGCCTTGTAGGCCGCGATGCATTGTTGTTCTTTTATTCTCAATAAAACCATTATCAATTCAATTCAATTCAAAGGACCGCCTGGGATAGGCCTGAAATCTACATTCTCTATCTGTAAGACTTTCAAGAAATCGACACAACCTTCTCCATTTGTTCTGCCTTGTTCCTGTAGGGTTTGTTATATCATTCGTTTAGTGTTCTGCCAGTTACCCTGTACATTCGTACTGTACATTTTGAGGGGCATCCCTGGTTGTAGACTTCCAAAACCAACCTCCGTCAATTTACAGTTGTTGGACCAGGGCATGATTTACTATTTGTTCGCCAATGACCTACTATATGAAAGGCAATGCAACGGCAAGACTGATATAATTCAGGAATGGTCGGATTATTAAAGCCTTCTGGGGTGTGTATCAAGTCGTTAATTGCACCGCTCACGGGTATGCCCAGCAATTTTTTCAAGAATTTGTCAGGGAGGGTATCAAGTGATTTCAGGCAGCGTTTTTTTAACCGAGGTGCCGCAAGAGATCTCTAGGTATTCCGTGAGAGAAATAACATACAAAGTTCAATTTTGTATCTATTATGAGATAACGTAAATTTATTGTAAACAAAATATAAAAAACCGTTATGCCTTTTCATGAAGTAATAACATTTTAAGTGGTTTTTTCTTCGCTCGTTCGCAACATTTAGAAATAGTGTGTGTTCGGAATATTTACAAACAGGATGCTTCTGGGCAACGAGATGATCAGTGCCATTTAAAAAATCTATAACTCTCATTGCCGCTTACAGGCTTTTACATGTAATAAAGAGCAAGATTTAGCTTCAAATGCAGTGGGGTGGGAGGTAAGGGGCAAAATACCCAAAACGGAGCCCCTTTTAGAAATATCAATGCTATCGAATGTCCCTTTTCTGGATATAGTCATTTATTAAAAAAGTGTGCTGTACTAAAAAGTGTGCCCCTTTATATTTCCATGACATATTCTACTCGAAAATATATATTTTCTAATAATTTATCGTGTCCTTTGAAACTTCACAGAAATTCTCCTTGTTCAGGGATATAAAGTTGAGACAATAAAGGAATTTTAGATATCAAGACAACGGCAAGGCACATTAACTCGCTCCATTCAAGGACATCCAGGCATATAAATGCAACAACTGGTCTAGATACGATAACACATTGCGGTTCCAATTATTCACCTAGTACTCATGATGCTCCTTTACAATTCTGAAAGTTACCCTTTGAGTAATTTTAATAGTAATAGCCCCTTTTAGTTTCTAAAATGTGTCCCTAGCAGCTTCCCCTATAAGAGCTGTTCTTTCCCTAATCCGATCAATGCCACTTTTCCCTTCAAAAGTCCTTAAATCCAGCTTTTAAGAGTTGAGCAGCTCTATCCTATAGTAAGAGGCACTGAGCACATGATGCACATAGAAATGTTTTTGTTTCATTGAGAATTATTATAAATATACAATACTAATATGAACGAATTCTCAACTTTGTTAAAATCATTGACAAATTAATGAAGGTGGATGCAATGCAACAATATATACAAGGCATTAAAACATCAATTTCTTTAGGGATTCAAAAGAAAAATGATGATATAATGAGATAAATGTAATTGCAACATGAGAGAGAAAATACAAAAATGACAAAATCTGAAATTGTCAAAGATTTTGACAGTTTTCTATTATTCAATACGTCATTGAAAATCTTTAACTTTCTTAGTCATTATTCGTTCGATTTAGCTCATACTTTGTGTTACATCTTTTATTCTTATTATTTTTGGCTTGCAGCGAAAGCAAGTTATTGTTGGACCGGAATATCCCCTTTTTAGGTATTCTAGAACAATATGCTGTAAGAGAGAGAGAGAGAGAGAGAGAGAGAGACAGACAGAGAGAGACAAAGAGAGACAGAGAGAGAAAGAGAGACAGAGAGAGACAGAGATAGAGAGATAAAAGGTGCACAAGTTTTACTTACTATTAATTTGTGTCTGTTCACAGTTTGTTCCGTAAAATCCATTTGTACAATAACATGAGTAATAATTGAATGGATCATCGATGCAAGCGGCTTGGTTTTGGCATGGGTTAGAGTAGCATGGCTGCGAAGGTGAGAGTGCTGCGGAGAGAATTTACAATAGGAAAACGACTATGAGTAAAGAACAGTTTACAGTTATGCTGCCTCATGTTGCAGCTGATTAACAACGAACTGCCCCAGACACAATCATATTTGTTTAAGAAAAGAAATCAAGTTCACGACTATCCTACCCGATAGGCGTTTTCATATCATCTTCCTAGAAAGAGAACACGCATTGTTAAAAATACCTTAAAGATACTATGTCCATTTTGCAGCTAACTGCAAATTCTGTAGAACTTTGCAAGAATTATGAACATGTCATGTATATCCTATCTGTGAAATTTAAACATTAGCAGTGTCCTAGTATTCAAGTTATGCTAGGAAACCCGTTCACCTTCTAGACTCTGCTGTCAGACACTACTGAGTGACTGACTGATATCTTTTTGTCTTTGGTAATGGCCAAAATTAAACTGATTGAATCTTTGTGCAGCACAAAACGTACGACCATTCGGTAAAAGGGTTTGAAAATCAGACTATTACTAAGGTGATTGCAATCACTTAAGTCAATTCACAACAAATGTTCGTTATTCCCACTAAAAGCCGTTTTCAAGCCCTTTCGATTTTGAGGGAAGTTCTAAATAAGTATATTGTTTTTCAAATGCCGTTAGAATTTAACATTTTCATTTTTTGGCCTGCAAATGGGACAAAGTACCTTTAATATATACAGGTCCCAAGTTCTGGAATTCTCTCGGTTCTGTGATTAAACGGTCTGTAAGTGTTCATGTATTCAGAAGAAAATTGAATTGTCATTATTTAATACATATTGTCATTCCTGATTCCTGACTATGTTTGTCTCCAAGCAGTATAATTTTGTGGATTACAATAAGTTAATAACGGTATGGCCATGCCAACTATATATTCTACTCATATTGAGAACAAAATACATTGTACTATCGTTTCAATAAGATTTATTTACTTTCCCTATCTCTTGTCTTTTGTAGTTAATTGTGAGTATCGGTTCATGTATCCCTGTATTCTTCCCTTTCCTGTTTTAGCGTGTATTTGTATTTTATAAATCTAACTTTAGTTAATTATGTCATATGTAGTTTAAGGAGCCCAGCCACAACAAGCTCTGCTTTCAACTGAAGGACAATTTTCTGAATAGTGTGTACCGGTATTGTATGAACATGTATATTATATCATTTTCAATATGTTTTTACACTCTTTGTAAAATGAGATATTGTGGAAACCAATTAACTATCTATCTATCTATCCATCTATCATTGGACATCTGTGTGTGGTCCCATATGCCCGTTTCTGCGTACAGCGCATGCGATTTGTCAACAAGATTGAGTCAATGTCTTTTCAATTTAGCCTTCCAAAACATCAATGTATACGACAGTTCCTATAGTCGACCTCTAGTAATTACTTCCAGGCAGTTTCTTTCACAATTCACTGTCATTACATAAACTTAACTTAACATATGAAACCCACTTTACACTGATTTTGTCGTTCCTGATTAAAGTACTAATTTCCGCAACCAATACAAAAGAAAGCCATATATATATATTCAGCAGTGAATAACAAATATTTCTGCAATCAATTTAAAAGAAAGCAATGTGTATATTTGATGTATAGTAATACAGATTAAACATTAGTATTGGAACTGTAGAAGCACATTTAATTGATTACATGGGCTACTGAGTAGAAAAGGTATGTATGACAGTGAACATTCAAAGAGACACGACATATTTCAACAATTACAAAAAAATACAATGCATTTTGTTGATATGTTAAAGTTTGATTATGTTATTGCTCTAAAATCTAAATGTATTGATACCACAATATACAACAACACACAAAACAAAACAACGTTAATAGAAAAAATTCAAGGTCATTGCTATTTCTACCAAATTGTTACTCCATAAAATCTTATTACTATGCATTAATTATAGGTATATATCAACACTTTAGATTGTATATATATTTACCTTAGGGCCTATGAGTAGTTGAAAAGGAGCCAGTGTTAGGTAAAATACACTATTCAACTTCAACTTTGAACTTCAGGCACTTCACTCTATTCTGTTGTTGCACATGCCAAATTTGTATGATTATCATATTAGTGAGATTTTCTGTAAACGAATTGGTAGCTTTCAAAATGATAATGATGAATAAAAAGTAACAATAGCCAAATTCAGGCGAACACATATGTTTTCCCTTTGGTCCCACCCCTACATAAGGCGGTACTGTGCACCACTCAACCCGCCTCCAGAGTTCGATTTGCTACGAAGATGGCGTCTACAACAGTTTCAACAAGATGGAGCGCAGTTAGGAGGAACAATGGCTTCATAACTTTCTCAGATAATGGTTATTAATTATGAGGGAAACAAATCCAACGACTAATTTGTATTAAAAATACTTTTAACACGTGTACCATAATAGATTAAATTCATACAGATTGAACATTAGTATTGGAAATGTAGAAGCACATTATTTTAATTAATTACATGGGCTACTGAGTAGGAAAGGTATACATGACAGTGAACATTCAAAGAGACACGACATATTTCAACAATTACAAACACAAACACAATGCATTTCGTTGATATGTTAAAGTTTAATTATGTTATTGCTCTAAATATATTAATACCACAATATACAAGAACACAAAAAACAAAAAACAACGTTAATAGAAAAGTTTCAATTTCATGGTTATTTCTATCAAATTGTTACTCCATAAAATCTTATTACTATGCATTTATTATAGGTATATCACAGCACTATATATATATCTACTATTTAAAAAAGAGATTACATGAAAAGCATGAGATATGTAGATCAATTCCTTGCATACGCAAACTTTTGAATTTAAACAAACGTACGCAACTGAAGTAGAAATTAATAAATAAGAAAGTAAAAGAAAAATTGTTAGTGAGCAAGAATTTTAAAGTGATAATGTTCTTTAAATCCATAAAATATGACACAAATTTCATATAGAGGGGCATAATTCTAACATGAAAATTATTTTTTTTTAAAGAAGAAGTGCACCTGATGGCATTGTAAATGAGCCGCATCATGCTTTAAAACAGAGCATCATGCGATATTGGGGGCATTACGCCTCTATATTATTGTCTCTAGCTTCACTGCCTGACATAATGATAATGATAGCGATCAATTTATACAGCGCATACTAATTCTCTACTGGCTTTGTGATATATTCAACTACACATATCATATTGGGAAAAACAAAAAGGGTCACTAAAAAGGAGAAGATTATTCATCTCCGTGTTTCAGGGTGTTTCTTTATCATAACTTTTAAAACAGATGTTAAATGTAACAATTTTGCAAGAGAAAGTTAGACAATTCTATGTAGAGTTATGGATTATAATAATAATAATAATAATAATAATAATAATATCGAATATTTAGGAGCGCTAAAAACAACAAGTACCACAGCGCTTACAATACAAATACAGGAAAAGAGGACAAAAATTTACAGTACAGAAATTATATCACATAGATCATCGGGGGAAAAGGTGAGTTTTGAGGGATCTTTGGTTTATAGAACCTTTGCTAAAAGAGTTTTAAAAGGTTGGGGATTAGGATAATAAGCCTAAGATTAAAGGAGTGTTAATTGCAAAGGTTAGCAAATTATTAAGTTTGGTATTACACAAATTATGCAGGATTGCACTAGGCCTATACAATGGGGTATAATATATTCTCACCTCATCTGCTTCAAAAAGTCTTCTTCACCTTTCAAGATATAAATATCTGCACTGGAGGTCCTTCAATACCTGTTATGTAACTTAGTAAACTTAAAAGTTGGGAGAGGGGGTGGGGATCGAAAAGGGTTTCAAATATATATCTACATTCTTTATACTTGGACGATTTTAAAAGCTTAGGTTTACAGAAGAAAAAAAACACGAAAGTGTAACCATATGGCAGGAACTCCTGAAATAAAAGCATACCGGCGGATGAAAGTTACTAGATAATGTTAGATAATGAAATATAGAGGTTCGTTGCTAGTGTAAAATGATATGTGAAGGTTTAAACTCAGCAGTGGGGGATGAAACATTCCGTCGCCTCTAATCTGTTCCAATTTAGAGAGAAAATAAGGGAAGTACAAACGGTATAAAATCGGCAGCACCCTGTATTTCGTGCATGACACATAGCCAGTAACAATGTTAACAGCACATGTTTCCTTGGCCTGTGTGTATACAGTATGCTAATGAGCAAACATGCAGCATTCATTCATGTACTCTCGTGCCCGCATCCTTGATCATTGAACATGTTTGAAGATTCGTGAGTGAATGGTAAGACAGAATGGGTAAGGTATCATTCATGCGGGAAGTAAACTACATTATCAGCGTAAAGAAGACGGGACAAGAGTAATGGCCATGTCCCTTTAAATTTCAGATTTATAAGAATAAAGATATTTCCCAAACGCAATATTCCTTACTTGCTGATGGTTATTGTTTAAACCGTTATAACTAATTTTAAAAAGGGGTTAGAAGCTTCAGTGGAGGTGTTCAGGAAATAATTGCCCGGGGCAAGCAATTCATTCTTCTTCTTCTTCTTCTTCTTCTTGAGTCACTTACGCCACAACGTTCACTCCAGTTTTGGCTGCATTGCATCGCGCAGGGGGGGGGGGGGGGGGGGTCAGTGCTTCCAGATCGTCTTGGGTTCAAGTGTCCGGGAGCTGTGGGCAGACTATGTTGCATAGTCTGCTCCTTTCCACAAAGACAGATGGTTTCATTCTTCTCACTATACCCCCACTTTACTAGGTTGGTTATGCAACGAACGACAGCAGCTCAAACGGTCAAGACATGACCAGAAGGGCCACGGGAAGGGCCATGCCTCGCTGGTTCCAGGGGAGGGTTTCTTTAGGGCTAATAGACACAGTATGCTGTGCTTGGGCAAGGCGGTTGGTCCACAACTACCACAACTCTTAATCTTAATACTACCACTTCTACTACTACTACAACGACTAAAAAGAGAATAAGGATGAGAAGAGGAAGAAAGAGGGAGAAGAAAAAGCAAAAAGAAGAAAAACAGAAAATGAGTTTTGTCCTTTTTCCATCGTTTCAAGAGCAGCCCAGGGAGCTTTATGTTCCTCTGTGTCCAAGATGCACCACATATATGTACAATATATAGTTTGTGATGAACATTTTGCGTCTGTAATTTCAAAATTTGCCCATGGACTCAATCCTCCATTTCGGAATCTCCTAGGAAGTTGTTTGTTAATCATCAGAATTAGCTTCTGCAGCTTTCACGAGAACATACCGTCGACTGAGACAGATTCTAAATTTAGACCCTTCTCATTCTCGATGCCGTCCTGGTGTTTCATCTTTCACCGATTCAAATAAACTTCGTACAGGCTTGAACTTAAATGAGCTTTTCACGAAACTACAACCATGCATTTTAATTGAATATCAAAGTGAAATTCAAAGGGAAATAAAAACTTCCCATGTTTATAGCCTTCTCTTGCTGAGTCTTTGAAGAGACCACTAGATAAGGGACGTTGAAACATGTACATGCCTCAAGAAGGAATCGAACATGCAATAGTTTTGATTAAAATGTTTTTTTCAATTGCGTTATTACCTGTTTGACATAGTGGTCCAGCCCATCCCGCTCTGCAACTACACGTAAATCCACCGTTATTATTTATACAGTCTCCGTTGACACATGGAGTAGCTAGACATTCGTTGATATCTGTAAATAATGAGGTAATAGCATACAAATATCAGCAACAACAACAATAACAACAATACCACCAATGAGAATAATTAGACATGTGATCGTGCCAACGATACACGAGTGTTATTTTAGGAATTGAGAGGGACATTCGTTCACCAATCATCTTGACCTTTAGAGAGGGGCGGCATAGTAGATAAATCGTGCTCACCGTAGATAAGTTTGTTCATGTAAGCAAAATCAGATATTGAGTCACCTTTAAATCGTCCCCTGAGACCCATTTTTCTCAATTTTCAAATGGTCGCCTCGGGTACTTTTGTCAACATTTTAGAAATTTTAGCATATTACGGTTGTTGAAATGAAACTTTGAATTATTATTATAACTATTATTTTACTTGTATGTATGACATGTGCGGCCGAATGCTGATTGTAAATAGGGAAACATTACCTAATTATTCAAAAATGACAAAACATGCGGCGCAGGTGCCTATCATGACGAAAGACGGCCCAAAATGTATTTTTTTTAAATAACAGTTCCAAATATTCTTATTGAATGTTGATTATGCATTAGTGATATATGCACCCAAAGGTAGATGAATAATTTGTAACCAAATTTGGATATTGGGTTATCTCAAATTAGACCCCTGGGGCACATGCCGGGGATCGTTCAAAATGGCTGCCATATTGTAATTTTTCTGTACAATCTAGTATACCTTGTACAATAAGTACAATTAGTCCGAGATAAGGCACTATAAGAAGTATCAAATCAAACTCAGATGTTATTCATCAAATAAAATTCGTTTGTGAAACTTGCAGGGTACGCACATTACTGAGGTATCCTGAAAGACACATATTATCATGCAATCAGATATGTATCGTTATGTCAATTTTATATCGATAGCACAAGCAACTTTTCAAGGAACGATAGGTTTAAAGTTCTGTGTATAATAATGATAATAATAATAGGCATTTATATAGCGCCGTCTATCTAGACACTTCTATTCCGAGGCGCACAAGAAAAATATATGATTACAATGCATGAGAAGGCAATTGTGATAAGCACAAATCCATTTTCCATAAACATGTACCTTCGTAGGGTTCGGCGACTGCAAACTACTTCGGAAAGAAGTTTGTATATATATATATATATATATATATATATATAATATATAGTTGAACAGCTGGCTTACTAGAGCACCTTTGATTTATAAGCTAGTTTCAGATGCCATCTTTGCCAACCAATTTGATTGCCCTATAAGGGACTCTCCTTACACGGACTACTGGTGTTACCGGCTGTCAACACTTACCTGTTGATACCTGACCTGGCCATTATTCGCAAGTGCAAAATTCCGTGCGTATACAAAAGTACATACTTTGAAAATAACCTCAACAATTTCAATTTTACGCCATCTGCATAATTTCTTTGATATGAAAGTATGGATTAGGGGCTATTTAATCGGATGGTATTTAAAGGTATTGGCTTTATTATTTAGGACTTGCGTTATGTTTTAAAGGTGGGTACTTACCAACATCACAGTTAGTATCCATCCAACCGGCCTGACAATCGCACTGATAGTTGCCACCAGCTAGGTCTGTACACGCTCCATTGACGCAGGGATCGGTACTGCATCCTAGGATTTCTGTTTGAACAAAGTGAGAGATACGAATTTTCAGGGAATTTTCAGCATTTTTCATAGTGGAAGAACTTCTCGGTATTTTTTCATACTAATATCACACCACTCAATATGAAGAGATCCCAGGGAGCTGATCTGATTTTCACATACGATATCTGAGGCATTAAGGCAGGGAGATAAAACACCATCCAATTAATTTCATCCCAGCAAATCATCCACGGCTTCGGCCGTACTTGTATGAATTTTACACTTTATCCATGAATTCCTAAAAAGTTCCCAGTAAGCTTCCATTTTCACTTTGGGAACATCTGCGTTTTCTTCTTCTTCTGCACTAGATGGTTTCCTATTACTCCGAATAACGCCTTGAACTTTCGTCACCTGTGGTGGACAAGGACATAAATAAACGAACGATACTTTTCCTGCAGGAATTTGATTAATTTCGCCAATTCACATGTTAAGCAATATTTTTGTGGACTTAGGTCATTTTCTCATCATTTATTATCTTATCTCCTCGTTTAAAACTCCCAATTTATTCTATATTTAAAATAAATTGAAACACTCTTAAACCATAAAACCCACAACACAATGCCCCTTGTTGACATTTAAAAAATGGAACGATCTGAGAACTCTGGCATGGTCTATAGAGAATATGATTTTTTAACGGGTTTATTAACTTGCTAAATAATCTGAGCAGTAAAGCGTGGCGGTTCATTGTATTTTTTTAAAAGCGCTTCCCAAATTTGTATTTCATAACGCCACTGGTGAACACAAGTAAGATCTTTGTTGCGTTAAACATTTTTGTTTTTACCCCCACTAGCAATTGTTTAGTACACACACACACGCACACACACAGGCCCACACAAAAACATTGCGCCATATGCGAACGACCCTAAATAAAAAGCCGTTTTTGAGCGATCCCATACATACCTGCAAAAGGGACATGTTGACAACAGTGTCAAAAATTCTCGTACGATCTCTTTCATAGCTAATCATAAATTACTACAAAAATATTCACAGATGTTCAACTAGTTTGATTATCTTTGCAGAAAAAGAAATTGCCAAATAATCCCCAAGTCATACGGGAAAAAAATTCCCAAACGACATGAACTTCTTTTTTTTCATTTCATAAAAGAAACTTTTCTGATAATAATCCTTGTTTTGCCAACAATAGTGTAAGTAAATGCAAATGTCAAATATATTGAGCTTGGCGATGCAAGTGATAAAGAGAAAGGAGATAAAGACGGAACAAATATCCAAGAAGATAGGAAAGGATAGAGAGGCGCAAGAGTATTTAGCTTTGAAATAAAGGGAAATTCAAATTGATGCTAATTATTATGAAAATATTTAGCTCACCAAATAGAAAATACATTACGATTTTAATTTCTACTGGGTAACAATATAATTAAATACACAGAGACACCCCAAAAATAAAATCATATCAACAATCTTAAATGACAGTCAATAAAAATACAGATAGTTAATTCGCCTACAAAACGTGTATTTTTGTCAAAAAATGAACTACTGCTTTGTCGTTTTCAGCATATATATCTGAAAGGCGCTTGGAAACATCATAGATGTATTAGGCACTTCATAAACGCAAAATATTATTAACACTGTTGTTGTTATTTTCTTCATTATAGCTATCATTATCACCATCATCATCATCATGCAAGACCGAAAAATAATTGTACCGTAAACTAGCAAAAAGGAAGAGAGGGTGCATATATTTTTTTCGTTTTAAGAGAGGAAAAGAGTTGGCAGAGCGGCGACATGAGAAATCGGCTTTAAATCAGAGTCGTGGTATTGTTAAATATTTTCCACAAGAAATGAAATCAGAAGATATGTTGCTTCATTGTTCCTGCGTTTTCAGCACCTATATATATTTTTATAAGATTTTTAGGGACATTCTACAGTACCCCCATTTCCCCCCAAATAACCCTAGAGCATTGAAAAAGTGCCCCCTTTATGATTTAAAATGGGTGTCCACCTATTATGTTGGTATGCCTTATGTGCTTATTGGACCATACCTTTCACCCTTTACCACAATGTAATTTGGCCCTCATCCTGATTCATGTAGAAATATTACATGTCTGTCCACTTTGGGTGTTAACAAGTTGCGGTTTTGGAGATTGCAAAAATCATTGTTCATAACAATAGCAAACCTATTTACATGTCAGCACAAAATAAGATCTACAAACCCCCTCCATCGACAATATCTCATTTATCCCTTATTTTATGATGATGGCATTAATTTTGCTCTCATTAAATAAAAACCATGAAAACAATCTCCTTGTTGGGAGGTAAAGTTTGTCTTTCCTTTAGGTCATGTTCGATCATCATGATCTTATGTGATCCAAATGTTTTCACTGTCTGGCGCATTGGATTTTTACATGCCATTTTTCAAAACAATGTTGCTCAGTGAAGCGTGGAAGGATTAATATTATCAATGTATAATTTTGAAACCATATCAATTCTACTTTATGACAAGCAAGAAATACTTTGTTGATAAAGGTCAAAGATTGTTTACAATTATCATTTGATGTTGGGTTTCGTTTTTGTTCTTTGAGGTACTGTAAATATAGTAGGCACTATATAGATGCTGAATATTGTTATCACTAGCAGTATTGTTATCATCATTATTATTACCATTACTATTAGTAATATTATCATCAACATTATTATTATCGTAATCATAATCATTACTCTTATTATTTGCATTTACAAACTAGCGCCTTTGCTTGAACAGGGAAGCTCTATCTGCTACTTTTGCCAGCCCGTAGCGACAGTCAAGCTAGAAGGTCAAAACTGAATTGGACAAACTCACGTATACAGGACGTAGTTCCCGTGAAACCTGTCGGACACTGACACATAAACGTGGTCGCTAGGTTCATGCATGTCCCTCCATTTGGACACGGATTTGAATCACATCCGTTATCTAAATGATGAACAAAAAAAGACATGTGTTTAACTTACGATTTCCACACGTGTCTCCATTGAAACCAGTTAGGCACCGACAAAAAAAGCTCGCGTCTGAGCCAGCAATGAAGCACGTACCCCCATTCTGGCAGGGGTTTGAGTTACATCCAATATCTAGAGAGGAGAAAAAATGTCTGTAACATCAGTATCACCACTTTTTTTATCAGGTTAAGATTTATCGAGTGGTCAATCTGCTACGTGTTCTTGTGTCCCATTTGCACCATCGAAGGTCAATGTGGGGATTCGCGGTGGCGAATAATACATAACTGTTAGGTTTTAAAACCATCAAAGGTGTTAAGAACCCAAACTGCATCTGTGGATATTCGTAACAGACAGTCATGCACATGATTGGAGAATGTCCTCTCTACTATGCCCCTTCTACCTATCCAGGCGAGGCTTTTCTATCTTACACCAAAATCCCATTGTTCTAGGTAAGACGACTTTCATCTCTGATTCTAACTTTGGCCGAGCCAATCTGTACTAATATCACAAGTTTTCTCTACAATTTATTTCCGTCTTTCATTCTTTTCTTGTTTCTCATTTAAAGACCATCTCTTATAGAGCGCTACTGTTCCCCGATAATCTTTGCTCAAGCATATTTCTTCGCCATTTTCAGGAATTCAATAATAATAATTAGAAGAAGGTGTGTCAACAGGTCAAGTAGAAGAAAATAAATTTGTTAATCAAAAACTCGTAAATCATTGTCCGTTCATATAGCTGGTATTAAATGGTATCATCACCCATATATATTGCAGCTGTGAAAGATTGATGTGATATCGTGATGGGGTTTCTTCGCACCATTATATTTTATACGCGACCGCGTTTCAGTTTTTTCTCAATGACCTTCTGCGGTGAAGACACGTTCAAGAACTGACAGAATGACCATTAGACAATTGTTTCTTCTCAAGCTTACCTTATATTCTTGTGTAGAAAAAACAAACAATCGGGGATGGGGAGTAGCTGATGACCCCATATTAGGGACTTTTAGATTTGCACGTCGACAGCTTTGACTGCAACGTGTGACGTCATTTTAAGGCACTGCGCATGCGTTACGTCGTCTCACTCGGCGATCGAGAATGCGTCAACCTTGATTTTCCTAGATCTAGTACATACATACATACATACATATTGATATTTATATAGCGCATTTACATGCTCAAGGTACTAGTATGCCGGGGGCGCATAAAATATACAGTTCCTCAGGTAGACAAAGGAACATCCCTTCCCTGCTATTATGTAAAAAATGTGTAGAACAGGTGTCACATGCATATTCACCGGTTCTACACATTTTTACATAATAGCAGTGAAGGGATGTTCTTTTGTTGAGGGAAGAATGAGGAACTGTATATTTTGTCCTCTTTCTTTGTCCATGATGTTCATAGTGTTACTTCCTGCATGCATATCGTCGAGTGCAATATAAAAGATTTCTTATTGTAGTCAACATGGGCAGTTAATTACGTTGACACACATGATCAGTCGGCGTTCGTCGTGTTCTAGTCCACTCAATCTAAAAGTCCCTATTCCCTTCACCTCCTAGGACAAAATAGGTTACCGTTCCGAGTGTACACAATTACCACTTTCTGAATAATTGCTGCAAACGGGTAACGGGTGAAAAACATCAATCGATGTGTTGATACAGTGCGTATAAAAAAGTTTACCAAACTTTGGTAGCTCCTAATTAAAAATGTATAACCAATATGACTTTGAAATCTATTTCATTATGAAGAATAAATTGGTTTCTGTTCAATGATACCCTATTCATAACATTTCTGCCACAGGTCACTGAGCACCAGGGTCTGTCAAAATCGCCTTATAACAAGTATGGGCTGATGGAACGAAGTGAATCAGGCTAAACACGATGTGCTTCTTTGATCTAAAATCCCTTTAAAAGTTGAATTATATTTCAAGGTCTAACAAGTCATATCTCTTAAATGGTAGTCTACCTAAATTGGGTATACTTTTTATACGCACTGTATACTACAGTGCTCCCACAAATTGAGTTATAAGTCACATATCATTTCTTCTTCTTCCAAGTCAGCCAGTTAAAAAGCAGATAATTCTGCTCTTATTTATAAATAAAAAAAACTTTCCCCCTCCCCTTCCATACTTTACTCTCCATTCCCAATCCGTTTACATTACAAACAATGCCCCTGATCAATAGTGACCACAATGGTCAGTTTTTGCCAAAAGGTGGCCCAAATGAACAAAAAGTCGGAATAAGGGTTAATAATATTTGTATTTTGGGGATCAGCGCAAAAATTCTACACCAGGTAAGCTATTAAACCCTCCCCACCAGAAATTCTTATTTGCTACAGTATAGCAAAGTCAAATTTAATACATCATGCGAAATTGACTGAACACCGGTGTCGCTAAATGGCACCTAGCTTCGCCAGCATCTCTGTAGCTACCAATTTTAATATATCTCTCATCATCCTCCCTTTTTATCATGACAATAGTTATGATAAAATCTTAATAATCGGCTTAACTGCAACTTAGTAATTCCTTTAAAAGGGTAAGTTAAGAAACAAGACATAAGTATATATGAAATCAAACCACATCTCACATTTGTTATAATGAGCATAAAATCATGCTTATTATAATAAAAATAAAAAACTTCCACGATATCTGCGTGATTTATACTAACGATGGTATGGGGGAGGGTCTAATCTATTTCATGGCACTAAGAGTTTCGACAATATTTTACACTTGAGTGAGCACTGTCTGATTTCGAAAAACTTGCGAAAATTCGTTTGCACAAACAAAAAAAAGTCGTGGATTGCATGTGCTCCATCTTTCTTATTATAGATCTCATCATAAATTTTCATCTAATGCATTCCCACTGCTGCCCTCACTCTTAACAAAGGAGGTATTGATGGTGATAATACGGTAGCATGAATGGACAAGAGTGCACAATACAATATATATTCATACTCAATCATTTTTTCTTTTCTTTTTTTTCTGATAGACTATACAATGCATTACACCTTTTCATACTAGACAGATACACAGTGGCTTTCATCATAAATTCATGAAAAGAAGAAAAGAAAATGCATTTATGAGATCAATCAAACATCTCTCTTAGTGTGATTTGTGAAACAACATAGTTTTAACAAATCGCCTGTGTACAGGTGCAGAGTGTAATCTTGCATGTTTGATTCTTCATGTTTCTTAATATAGATCCCATGTTTACCATTTATCTACTGCATATTCCATCGCTACCACCACTCTTAATAACGGAGGTGTTGATGGTGACAAGGCATTCTGAATTTTATTTTTTATTTCTCAATAGATTCAATATACAGCACATCTTTTCACACAAGACATAAATATGATGGCCTTCAACATGAATTAATTAAAAGAGAATGCATTCATAGCATTAATCAAACATCTTGTTTCTTTGTGACTCTAAAACAAAGGACATTCTATTCCACAAAAACATCCCTTTTGTATATGAAATGCAAAGGGTAAACTTAGATATTTCAATTTTTGTTTGTTTTGGCGCAAATCTATTTTTGCAAGATTTTAAAATGTAGTCATTGGTGATACAAGTGTATAATAGTGTCAATACTGTTAGTGTCATCCCATTTCATAGTCCCTCATCCATGATGCTGTAGTAAGAACTCGTGCAGATAGTGTTACATTATCATTTTGAGCACATTTTCAAAGAGTATACTTTTTTATACGAACTATATAGAGGCACATAACCCGAATAGTATGATATCACTGAGACGTGAATTTTTAACTAATTGTGTGTTGATGACTGGCCTTTAAAACAAAACATAATTTTGTATAAAGAAAATAATTTCAAATTAAAAAAAAAATGCCTCACGAAGTTATTGTTAACTAATTCAATTTAATTCAATTCATGTTCTCATATAATTTCAATCGTATCGATGTGTCTTGTTTCAAAGTTCCTCTTGCCATGGAAAAAGAAATCACAATTGAACATTTTATAATAATAGTAGTTAAAAGATTGTTTCGACATACATATTTCACACGTATCTCCTGTCCAAGGTGAAGAGCAAGTGCATACGGGAACGGCTGCTTCAGGTGGACCATTCTGGATCCCATAGGTACATCCGCCTCCATTCATGCAAGGGTTATTCGTAGAGAAACAAGGGTTCACTAAAATGGGGGGGAAATGAAAGACAGCATATGACACAAACGTGATTCACCAGTCATTGCATATCGATCAAATAGTTCCAAAGTAGGGAATATTTAGGCTATATATATTTACATAATCATTCTAATCTCAAAGCCTCACTAGCGTGTATGAAGTATGTGTGTGGGGAGGGCGGTAGGAAAGGCAAGAGGTACTTCTGCACCCCGACAATTTTCTAACCAAGAAACATATAATTGACTTTTCCTTTAAATGAGACACTTATTGTAAAGTAAAATTCATGAAAATCAGATATTCATGGCAGTCGTACTGCCTCCGCCTGTGTCTGTTTTCTCTACTTTCCCCGTCTCCATTCTGACAACTAAGCTTAGGCATCCTTTGATAAAACATTAGCCATGATTTAAAACATAACGCTAATAGATTTAAAGGTCAAGTTCACTCCAAAAAATAACTTACTTCCAATAGAGGCAGAAAAATCAGACAAACCAAATAAAAGAAGTTTGAGCACAAATCGGCTAAACAAAAAATCTTCCCAGTTTTCTTCTTATAAGAAAGATATAAAATCTACTTGAAAAATTATACATTTTTGGGAAAATTCATAAAAAAATAATTACTATTTGACAAAACTATTTGTAATGGATATATTGTAAAGGGGTTCCTAGGTCCTGATTTCACGCACACATTAGCGTTTAATTTCTTACAAAACTGTTTTGGAAGTATCTGATTTATACATTTATTTCCTCGGAATGTTCATGTATCAGCTATACTCAGCTGATTTGCCCAAAATATTCCCAAGGGTGATTTGCGTAATATATTCCTTCCCATGTTCGCTAAAAAAAACCCAGCATTATCCTCCACTCCTACTCCACAATTCAGAGAGTCAATTTACATCTCTCCCCAAGTTGGACGGTCTTTCCCCTAAAATCAATTGTTTAACCTTGCCCCTCTTTTTGGAATTGTTTGGAAGCACAATCGTTTACTCACTTTAAACGCAAACTTCGAATTTTCCTTTTAAAATCATATGTCTAATATCATCTTTTTTCTCCATTGCTCAATCCTAATTGTTAATGAATGATGCATGTTTCGGTTATTAATGTATATAAATGAATTACCTTGTTTCTGAACCTATTGAATGCGTATGAACGAATTGCATGTTGCTATGTGATTTTCTCGGGGTACTATCTAATCCATTTTGCATTCTCTTTTAATAGACGGTCTAATTCTGAACTCTTGAAATTATGATTTCACTCGGGAAACTGTCTAAATTTTATCTTTGTGTTTTCTCCAAGGAATCTTGTGCACGTTGACCTTTCGTGTATTATATTCTTGAATTAATTACTATATCCATACACTTGATGTTTTGGCTAACGGTGCCCTGCTAACTAATGTGTTCAGGTGAATAATACGCATTTTAACCAGGTGACTCTAGGTACGGGTGCTAATGTATTTGTATGCAAATTTCTTTATTCCATTGTGTTTTTAATTCCCTCTCTAGATTACATCTTTCTCTACTGCCTCTATTGCTAAAGTTTTTTTATCTACGATGTTTTTAAAATCAGGAACCTATACTCTACAAGCACCGCTTTTCAATAGGGGCCTCACATTTCACTTAATCTGACATGTGACTTGAATGTTGTTGTAACTTGCTTAATATATACCGTATACATATATCATTTCTATTTCATATGTCTGTCTTTATTTTCTGTAAAATATGGAGAAAAGAAAAACATGAAAACTTAAAAACCCCAGGTTTTGTAAGGCTAGGATATCAACATTCACGACGTTGGATGGAATAACCCTCTCCTACACCCTCTCCTGTTCGGTTGCTTCGGGTAAGATGTTTGCATACTGAATACACCAGTTTACAGTTGTATCAGTGCGCATGAGCAGACAGTTGACCTCGGGTCATTGGCCCCGGAACAGGGCCAAATTGGCCCTGTTCCGGGGCCAATGACCTCTGACCTCTGGTATTTATGCGTAAATTAAGATTGCGCCCATGCAAATGATGATATGCGCGCACAACGCAGCGCGCAGGCAGTGATAGCATCATAATTTGCATGGGCGCAATCTTAATTTACGCATAAATACATGACCTCTAGGTCATTGGCCTTGTTTAAAATGGCGTACACAACTGTAAACTGGTGTATTGTGCGTTGTAGTCCTGCATATACCGCGATAAATAAAAGATTTCCTTCTTATTCAAAATCTTAATTATTTAGCTCATGTTCACAAAATAGCACATATTCTCAAAATAGCCATAAAATAATTCTGAAAATAACGAAATTCAGACGTAAAGTCTAATTCATTCGTTGCAGCCCCTAGAGCACCTTCTCCTTAGACATTGCATATACTCCTACACTGTAATAAATACATTATCAGGGAGAGCTTTCAAGATTGTCTCTCTACGTGGTTCAAAATTCTCCATACTTTGCTGTTGTGTTTGATGATCTGAATATACAAAATTCATAGATTTTTGAGGTCACATTGCGACGGATTAGGTGTCGTTAAAGGATGAAACCTCATAACAACCTCATAATGTAAGAATGAATAAGACCTTCAATAATGGTTAATGAGATGAACTATAGATATGAGCGAATGTAAACAGCGAATTTATTAAGAAATTTGAGGAAAATGGATCTCAGTCGCTAAAACTAAGGGCACATGAATGTTAGGGAGGCTGTGAGAAATCTGATGATTTTTTTTTTAGATGTGAAGTGATAGCAAAATATTGTCATAGCACTTAAGCTAATTTTTTCTCAGTACTTTAAACATGAAAGACATTTGGTAAATTCAGTCGCCTTGGATTTGCAAACCCCTACATTGTCTAAACCTTCATATTCTTGAACAAAGAGCAATTGATTACCTTGGCATTGAAGTTCAAAAGGACATGAAGTTTGAAGGGGGATAATTTGGAAGTTATCTCTTTTTGCAGTTGAGTAGAGTATGTCATGATAGTTTAGAGGGGCAAATACATTTGATAGCTTTGAAAATGAGCACGGTTATATTTCTAAAAGGAGCACAGTCAATTCCTATGTAATTTGGGGCATAATGCCCCTGCCCCCGGCTTCACTACCTTTCATTTTGGTGGTGCAAAAAGAACTCCTCTTACTCTAAAAAGCTGCTCCGATCCTTTGAAACTAGATATGGCTCTTTTAATGACTGCACAAAGGGCACAATATTGGTAAGAGACAATGGAAAAATATAACAGGGGCACTTATCAAGGGGCAACTACATCAAAAGTAACTAAGGGAACATATCAAAGGTGAAAAAAGGGGGGGGATTTGTGAGAAGGAAAAGGGGCATTTATTAAAAATAAAAAGGGGCACCAGTCAAATTGAAAGGAACAATAATAAGAGTTAAAAAGGGCGCACTTCTTAGAAAAGATAAAATGCACCAAAAAAAAAACTACAATGAAAAGGGCACTTGTTTGTGGTAAAAGGAGCACCTATAAGATTTTGGAAGGGGCACTTATCGAAGATTTTTTAAAGGTAAAATAGCCATTTATCAGAGGTATATATTGATGCGCCTCGGAATAGAATTTGTAGATAGACGGCGCTATAGAAATGCCTATAATAATAATAATAATAATATAGGATTTCCCGGCCAATTTCGTCAAAGCGGCAATCCATTTCATTAATGTTTCATTTTTAAACTTGTCGCATTCAATTTCGTTTCGAGTCACCGAATATTTTAAACATGCACATTCAAATTTAAGCTTGGTTCAATCAATTTGGAAATTTGGAAATGCGTAAGGGTCATTCAATTTCGCCAATGTTGAGTGGGAGGTGAATTCTTTGGCGAATTGCGGTTTCATTTTCGTCTATGGGCAACCTCTTTTGCAATCGGGTCATTCAAATTAAAACTAGACCTCATAATCATAGTATGAGGCTCGATGTTCTTTCGGATATTCAGTATTTCATGTTCATTTATTTATTATTTATCTCTATGGTATTTTCTGACATGATTTCAAATTATACAATCTTCTTATTTATCTGATATATTTATATTGTATTTTATGTTTTCTCCTTCTTTCGACATTCTTTATTTTTGTTGAAACATCACTTTATTCATATCTTCATATTTTTCATTATAAATGCCTTAGGGGTTATTTTTTAAATGGTTTGTTTTGATCAATCTTGATTGAATAGGTGAACTTCCTTTCTTTTCATTTAACATCTTTTTCTTTATTCATCATTGTGTTTCGTTTCCATCATGTCCATGTCTATTAAACCTGAACTCTACCTCTGTCCAAGATCTTGTGCTTAGAAGAGAAGTCACAAATTGTGCACCTTCTCTGGGGACAGTTACCCGTGTAATGACAGAACAAATACGCATGTCATTCCTCCAAGTAAACTTTGCATAAAATTATACAAACAGAAGTATATTAAGTGACAAATTATCATCAAATGAAAAGCAATGCACAAATGTCACAAATGTATGCCTAATCACGAAATTGAATGCACGAAGACATACCACCGTCTGTCCGGCGCGAATTTGAACGCTCTTTGCACGCTTTTCTAAATTGAATGCTCGTTTTGCACTTCTCCGTGACAAGAGTATGAAATCGCATGCTACTAAATCAAATTGAATGACGCAATTAGCTTTTTGAATGTTGATCTACACAGTCATTCAATTTCGCACGAATTTGAATGAACGTAACGTTAATTCGGATGCTAAGTTTACGAAGTTGGGCGGGAAAACCTAATAATAAAGGAGGCACTCATAAAAAGGTGAAAAGTGGCACTTATAAGAGCTGCAAATGAGCACTTTTGAGAAAGGAAAATGCACTAACACAAAGAAAAAAGGGCACTCGTTAAGGTTAAAAGGGAACCAAATCAGCTTCGGATATAGGCACTTATCAGAGGTGAAAGGGTCATATATTAGAAAGGGGGAAGAGGCAATAAGTACAGAGGGGAAAAAGGGGCACTTGTAAAAGTAAAAGGGTCACTTCTCAGAGGTAAAAATAGGACACATATAACAAGTTTAAAAAGGGGAATTTATTACAAAGAAAGGGAAGCACCTATCAGAAAAGAATATCGACACATATTATCGGAGGTGAAAAGGGTAACTTACGAGACAGGGCAAGTGGCGCTTATTACACAGAAAAAGGGGCACTTATCCGAAGTAAACAGGGACAATTTTGGGGTACTTAAAAAGAGTGGGGGGGGGCACTGATTCACTGACCCCCTCCTTGGAGTACCGCCTCTGATGCAGTACGTATTTAACGGAAATAAGGTACAGAGAAATACCAAGTAAAATGGCAAATTAAACTACGAATCGATGTAGGAAAGAAAGCACTGACCGAAATGTATTTTTTGAGGGGACAGATAAATCACTGAAGAAAAACCGTTCTTGAAGAGGAGATTCCTATGTGATAATTCTATGCTTGGACGATAGCGTTATATGGTACTATCAATACAACAAATGGAAATGTACAACATCAGAACGATGAGGGTACCATATGTTTAAAAAAAAATTGGGCTTGGTGACAAATAAGTTTTATGATATGGTAATATAATGAAGAATACTGTAATAATTACTTACTCAGTTGACAATTGGTACCATCAAAACCTGTCGTGCAGTCGCAGTTGTACGAGTTTCCACTTATAGTACAGGTACCCTGGTTTTGACATGGAGTTGAAGCACAAGAATCGCCTGTTTAAAAAAAAAACGAAAATCAAACAACAAATGAAAACAAACTTTTAAAAAGGCAACAAAATTATATACCATTAGTTCTCACAAAATGATGATATTCGCTTCCATATTTCATTTAATTTTTTTTTCCATTCAATTTTTAGATCGTTCCATTTCGTTCTGCAAATTCTGAAACGTGCTTATTTTATTAAATTTAATAGGCCATTAACCCATCAATTTCAACAGTTGTCCATTCATTAACGTCAGAGTCAGTTAGAATTCGTCTATTATTATTATGACGATCCGCTACAAAATGAGATGATTGAATTCGTCTTTGGGTGAAATTTGAATAACATTTTGAAGCAGATTGAGCTTTACCGTTGATAGAGCATACTGCAAGACAATACATTTAATTCAAAATTTTCAAACGACAACATGGGTATCCTTTTTAAAATAAGCCGTGTTCGTTGGTTTCCATTTGAATGCACTCACACATAAGTCAATCCGCAGACATGGGTGCCCCTACACTTGACAACTGATGGCCAAGTTTGTTAACCTGCCCCGAAATCGTGAATTTACTATACATTACACATAACAATATGTTACAATAGACACATATGTCAATGGTGTCAAATTTACCGCAATGAAATTCACTTTCGAATGATACCATACATTTTACGATGGTCACACAGAAAATCTTGAGTAAATCACAATTGAGATTTAGGAAGGTGACAAAACAGATTCCGCCCAATCGGAACACGTATTGCCTATGACGTCAAATTTCAGACCGCTTTTTGCCCTTTTCAAGTTCTTTATTTACCTTGAAATTTTGTGAACACATTCTGAGTGGCCAAACGTAGTGTATTTGGTCGTTTCTGAACTGAATGATTTGTGATACGGTTGGACTTATAATAATGTATTCACGCACGAAATACACGTTCGCGTGCATTAATTTTCCATAAAGTTAGTATTGGAAAAAACATTCATTGGCATCTACCACGCACCGCATCCTGTAATCATACATCGAACATACACGCTATTCTTCAAAGCGAGCTTTTCAATGGTGTCCAACAACCATACATCATCCCTCGGGCTGTTCAATCAAGAACAAGCTTCAATGAATGCTCTCTCTCACGAATAACCTATTGTTATACTTCCTTCATGCCATAACCAAAATTATTTGCTTACCAATGATAATTTTCACGAAGTGACGGTAGTGAAAAAAAGTTGCATTCACTTTGCGTTACGATTTTCCTCACTACCGTCACTTCGTGAAAACAAGGACGAATATATTAGTTTGTACGTTTGTGAAATACGTCGTACGCGGTGGGCCTGTACTGTCAACAACAAACAACTATTATCTTGCACGCTCGTGCACGTATAACGTGATGGATTCAGCCAATAAGATGCTTTCTATAAACTAATACCCTCTTTTGCATACCCGTCAAGACAAAACGACAAATCATTTACTTACCACTAAAAGTCAAAACGTTAGTCTGTACGTTTGTAAAATATATTTCACGTTCTACAGCGACAGTCGATCTAAATTGAAAGCAAAACAAATAAATAAAGGAGAAAATAACATTATGAATACATATAAATGTATATAATATATATTTAATGCTTTACATATAAATCAAAGTATAAGCATATTACATTATTATACTAATTTATTCTGCCATCTTACGCTAAAGCAATGACATTTGATTTTTGATATTTTTAATGTGACATTTTGATATTAATTTTGATACTTTATTTTGTATTTGAAAACACGTAATGTGATATTTGATTTTCTAAATCTCGAATCGTATTCTTTCTAAGCATTTAATTGCTATCTAATCTGCTAAATGCACAATTTACCTCACGCTTCATTGTTCTTCTTCTCTCGTGCTCCCTTTAATGTTTTTGTAAACATAAGCAATTATTTTTGTACCTGTTAAATAAGTTGATTGCCTTATGATGTGAGCGTTCTTCAGTATTTTTAATATATGTTAACAAAATACATTTCAATTAAAATTAATGGACAATAAATACATTGAATTCAACTATATCAATAACTATAGACATATCAACATCAACAATAAAAACCGTTATTGTATTGCAATAGCGCACTAGTTCATGAAAAATCTGCTTAAAACACAAAATGATGATATAATAATATTATTGTTATCATACTTATTGGAATCCGTGGAAAGCTACGGGCAGCTCTAACAGATGAGAAACATCAATTGTATTATCATTTCCATGATTTGATTAAAAGAATTTGTTTTCACTGGCTGCCTGCCGTAGCAACAAATAGAGTTGACAAGAGACTTAACTCCGTTTCGTTGACGATCAGCCATGCACAAAAAAGACGAAAGACTTCATGCAGGGCTGATCGTCATCGAAACGAAGAAAAGTCTGGTATCAACTCTGTTTGTTGCTACAGCAGGCAGCCAATGAAAACGAACTCGTTTAATAAAATTATGGAAATGCAAGCATTACTTTAAACAAACAGGACTTTGTTATTCCTGGCTCAATTTTTCTGATTGAGGTGTCATATGAAAGGGCAGAAAGTGAACTTTCTAGAAATGGGATTTTCTCTTTGAAATTCAGATACCGCCCGCCAAATGACTTTTTGGTACCCTCTCTTCAAATTGCTTTTATTAACTTATTCGTAAAATATGCATCATATAAGTTGCATCAAATGAAAGAAGAGGATCTAAGCTTTACAAATATGTGTAATTTATTAATTATAATAATGATTAAGATATGATAAAACATCGATAATTCAAGGTGAGGGAAAGCGTCATTATGTAAAGGGGGTGGGGTAACATTGCAATGGCGATTTAAGACAATCGTATGTTGTTCTAAGAAACTGTGACAGAATGAGGCAGAAAAGCTGTCAGTAATTGAGAGAGAAAGGGTCTATTGATTCAACAGGCTTGTTTGCAAATTGCAAATTGAATGATTCGTTTACAAAGACTGCTTCAATTGGCCTCATATTTTTGTAGGTATTAGGTATTTCCACTTAATAATAGAGTTTCCGGGGCAACTCTTGATTTTCCTTGGCAAAAGGGAGACACTGTTTTTAAATCCTTTTTAAAGTAGAATTCTACTTCATTTCCCATGTATCTAAGATTTCACAGGGCCTTGTTCGAATCCAGAGGATAACTTTTTTTTTGTTTCAAATAATATACCTACTCCTTTTCTCATGATATCTAAAATCTATCTGCTAAATTGTCAATTGCATCGCGTCGTAGAGCAAAAAAGTTTTACTAAAGCCTCGGTCACAAATGCCATTACGAACTGCTACGAACGCCGTACAAACGATTTTCAGACCATGGAAATTCGGGAAGACAATGGGAAAACAAGGAGATTCGTACGAAATTGTTGTTCGTACGAACCTTTGTGACCGTAGCATTACCTAAAAGAGTTTATGTAAGAAAGAACACATGTTGATAACTACCATTTACAGTATATTTACAGTAGATTTCCAAGTAAATAGATGGCATCCCAAGTAGACTTTGTCCATTTAGAATGACTCAATAAATGACAAGGCTGACCTTAAGTCAATACGGGATGCGAGAGAAGCCAGGGTGGAGTCATCATAACAAAAGGAATATCATAAACTTTGCTTGTAAATCAACTTATTCTTGAGCCTGAGTTGACACTGTCACTTTTTCTCTTCAAATGCCCAAACTAAATGCAAATAAGTCAGCAAAATTTTTCGGACTGAAAAGGCTTTTGACCCACATGCATTGCTTCACATCAAAGTATATACAAAGGGATTTTGACAACAGCTTGAGTATAAATTACTCTTGAAAATGAACTATAATTTAGGGTCACATATAGGTTATAATTTTTAAACGGGAATCTGTTGGTAACTTCTTTTAAATATACGGACTGCATAATTATATAAGAGTTGAAAGAAATTAACAGTTGACTGATTGCCAAGCGACCCCATGTCAACCGTCAAATGGACCCTGAGTCAATTTCTGTGATAATATTGAACATCGGTTTAGGGTTTATGTTATGTTTCTGCCTCTGTATCTTTCTCTCTGTCTCTGTCTCTGTCTCTCTGTCTCTCTCTGTGTGTCTCTCTCTAGGGGAGTGGGCTCCAATACTTACGTAAACTGGATATCTCCATACGGTCTATCGGCTTGCCAAGTGAAGTCCTGCCGTAATCTTTTCTCCGTAATGTTATCATGAGTTACCATTTGATTTAAAGTGGTGCAGCTTCCATATTTGAAACCGTTTCCTATTGAAGTGAAGACTCCTATGGCCGGTTTGGTGGAGGATTCCGCGCCTGGCACATGCGCCACAGCTTTCAATGCGAGCCCTTTAAAGTACTCGGATGAATAGACTGAGGGACCACTGTTCCGAAGTATTGACACTGCCAAGAAAAATAATAATATAGAAAATAATATATCACATGACGAAGGAGCATTTAAAGGGCAACCTAATCCTTGTAATAAGTCCATTTGTATGAAGGCAGATAAACAAAATGAACAGAATGGCGAAAGTCTGAAGAAAATCCGACAACATAGTAATATGAATATGTGAATCATAAATGATTATACAGAAACAGAAATAAGTAAGCCTTTCAACTTTAGGCAATTAATGCACTATAAACTGGGTTCTTGTAAAGCGCTCATTTTTGAAAGACTTGGCAATCCTGCAGGAGCTCCTGATTATTACACTGGCTTTAGAATGGCTGCCATTACGGCGCTCTAGCACTTCAAGGAATTAATTCCTGCCAGGTACCCATTTACATCACCTGGGTTGAGTGTGGCAGATGTAGATCAATGTCTTGCCAAAGGACATTAGTGCCGCGGTGAGATTCGAACCGCGGGCCTTGTGATTCCCAGTCCGGTGACGTATCTACTCGACCACGACACCTCTACTAATAAATAATAACATTTGATAATGATGACAATAGCATTCAATAATAAGAGCAATTAAGAAAATACGAATTGACATAAAATATATCAATACATTTACTGCGAGTTAAAAAACAAAAACAGAATGAGATCTATCACGAAATATTTAAATTAGCCCCCAACCTTTTACACTTATTTCAACTATGGTACATTCACTCTCTTCTGCGTGCATGCCCCTGTCACTTAAAACCGGAAACTCTTCCCGTCTCTCTTCCTACCACTATACCATCTGCCCCCCCCCCACCCCCTAACCACCACGACACGCACACATGCACAGAACACACCAACCACCTTCATTCTTTATAAATTCAATAAGAATATAAAAAATAGCATTAATGCAAAAATAAAAAAACCCGCATATACATGCATTAGTTCCTTAAAGTCTGTTGTAAATGCAGATTATTTCGTGACGCTTAATGTTGTTTAATACTCTTCAATTTTTGTATTCCCAACTCATTTTCCTCATCCCTATATTGAAATATAGTTTTACAAAATTCATCTAGAGTAGAAATTACACCCATGTGACCTTGGCCGAAATATGCTACTTTATTAAAAAAATTATTATAATGCATCATTATTTTAGTTCTCAATGTTTCTCCTTTTATGCTTTTATGCGTTGTGTAGTTCTACTAGCCCATTTTTTTCTTATTCCAATCAATTCCTTGCACATGGCTTTAACATATCCACAGTCCCATGATAAATGTGAGTGTGATTCTGACGTATGTTTACAAAAAGAACACTGGTCAATATCAACAAAACAAAACGTTAACAGATGTTCTGTTAAATAAAATTGCTCCATTGAGTGATTTGTACTGAAGTTCCTTAATTTTTTTATAAAAGCGTTGTAATTCTGGCTCTTACCAAAGTTATTTGTGATCTCCTTTTTTTGAAAATTCAAAATCATCATGACCTTCTCGAATGGTACATCATTCTGTAGGATTATATTTCCACATCTACTGTGTACCAGTTGTCTGACCTCCCGTCATACTACATTACATATCACATTTCACAAATGTTAGCTATATCTGTACTACACAAACCTAAACTCTGGACTGGACTGGAATTTATATATTTGTATTTTATTTTCAGCAACAATGAAGGCGCTCGTCATTACACACGTAACACCACACCCACACCGAATATCCTAACCTGCTTTATACTGCACACATATAGAAACACTATATACAACCTACCACACCTTGACACTCACAAACACAGACACATACACGCACGCACACACACGCACACACACGCACATACACGCACACACACACATTGATGCCTACACTCACATATAAACATCAGGTATTGCATGAACATTGTTTTGACAAAATATCGATGTGGATTCAAATTCTAATTGTCCATTATATTTAGATTTAAGTAAAAATATGAACTAAACGAGAAACACTTTTCACGTTAGACCTATTCCTCCCCCAGGTTTTGAAAAAATTAAAAGAGCCCCTTATTTGTCCCCCCCCCCCCCAATTTTAGCCTGAATGTAGAAGTACACTATTGTAGGCATTTATAATTTTCACACAAAACAATACAGGTATTAATGTATTTCATGAAAAAACTCACTTGTGGAATGTAATGTAAAAAGCAATGTGGCATTTAAGATACGAGGGCAGAAAGGCATGAAAACGCGCCCGATGATTACAAAATAGCGCCTGAGTGGTCATGAGTGTGATTCTTCAAAACGTTAAGTTCATGGGATGCTGAAGCTATGCTTCCAAAGTTTTGAAAGAATCGGAACAGTTACAGAAGAAGGGACCAAAAAATGTTAACAAGCACTGCGTGCTGAAATACTATGATATGTGAAGCAGAAGACCCGCGCTCAGGCCCTAATGACCTTCTTTTTCTATTGCCAGTACATGTCATCATTGAGCGGAAACTTAGTGGAATACGTCATGTGACCATCCTTCAATTACTCAAGATTTACTGTGTAAACATACACTGTGTCTCTTATCATTCGAAAGGGTATTTAATTGGTGTCATTCTGACATCATTCCCATTCGCGCGCAATTTACAACCATATTATGCATTATATAATGCATAGTAAATTCACATTTTTTGGCGATAATTTCCTTATAGAGATTTACCTGTTACACTACTTGTTGTGTCATATGTCGACTCAGTTACGAAGATTACGAATGGCGATTGCGTTCCGGTTTGGGGTTCGATCAGCACACTTAGATTGTCCCTGTGTCCAGGAGCAAGATCTGCGCATGCCGAATTGGGTGCTCCCGTCGGTAGTCCTACGACAAATATCCCACAGTAGAAAGTGACCGAGAAAATTATCCCGAGCCATAGTTTCAGGAACATTTCCATGTTATTAGCCACCTAAGAAGACTAGAAATTAAAAATCCCAGAGTTTAACATTGGTTCATGTAGCAAAGTTAAACGGTGATGAGTTCGAGTTGTCGATGAATACTGTTGTAAAAGTTACGACCGAAACGTCACACCCAAAACTTTGCAAGTACAGTGCACCGAAGATCTACTCAGCATTCATTATACAACACAGATATACAAGTGTGTTACAACAGTGTACAACACAATTTATTACTATACACACTACGTATGCCCTCTCTTTCTCTCTCTCTCTCACTCAATGGATGCTTTAACAACAATAGTTATTCAATCATAAAAAAATTGGTAGCATATTTCCTTTTGTCAGTTTGTTTGGCGGACTATCCGTGGTTGGATGATTTTATTGAAACGCGGTCGCCGATTCGTCATTGAACCTTGTATTTCATTTCTTTAAAACTTGCTTTTTTGGTGAAGAGATGAGATTCGGCCGACATAAGTGGAAGTTCGTAGATATTTAAGGGTTACAGAGACCACTATAAAGGTTCATACCGCACCCTTAAGTCTAATTCAGATGTGGCGCGGGAAAACCGCGGCGTTTTTCAATATTTTGTTATGATGTAAGATGTAATACCCCTTCACCTTTCTGTATCTTATAAGCAGAGCTCAGTAAATACACGCAATTTATTTTACACGTACGTTTAAAAAAACGTATCAGTTTCTCGCAGTGATTTACCGTAATCCGCCCTATAAGAATAAGCCTCTATGCACACATAAAGAAAATATGAATGACTAAAAGCGTACACTGATAGTTTTGCCTAGAAAACCCGTCTTTAAAATTACCTTTTAACAAAAGAGTATGGGCGTGGAAAACTATCGGTAAACAAGGGCGAACAAGTTATAATGTCACTATTATGACACCGTACTATTTTGCCTCTTCTACACATCAGCCACTAGACGGGGAGAGGGGAGGTGAACGGGAATGTTAACTAAAAAAATGTAAGCGCAATGATCTTGGTGGGCCTATTATATCTAATTTCACAGTCAACGTGAGTGGACGAAAGCTTGCCTACTAAATAATGTAAGGTTGGTAGAAGCTTAAACTACATGAGTACCCCATCCAATGAAAGTTTTCTGTTTCATTATACAATTTGTGCACAATACATTGCAGCAGCTGGAAATTAATAGGTCTGTCCATAAATATTTTTGATACTAAAACCCCAATGTGACAGCGACTCCCTAAAATTGTATATGTTTTATATTGTTTGTTAATGCTGTATGAAACAGAGTGCTGAATCCAAATGTGCCACTACAAGCCGTGTGAGTGTCTGCTCTTACCATTGTGAACATAATTGTGCCCCTATATTATAAGGTCATTCCAAAATATTCATAGTGATCTTGAAATCTTTAATCCTAAGAGTTGCTGGCATGACTTTCGATTTTGCACTTGGGGTAAAATGTAGGTCTTCGACTAATGAGAATATGCTGCTAATATCAATAATTTCAAAAGAAAAACTAAATTCATGAACACTTTTTCTCTGAATTTCTCATGATGTTTCTAGCCATTGGACTATATGCTACATTTTCACATTGGCGTCATTATTACATTTGATATAGGCCGACAGCTTAGAATAGTAGATTTTAGAGAAGTTAATTAATTTTTGTTTGTATATCTTACTCATTCTTAAATGCTTTTTTGACCGCTAAGGACCTAGTCATCAGTGTGTTTGTTATGCGTGTGCGTGTGTGTGCGTGTGTGTGTGTTCTATATTCGGTAGCTTAATATTTCCATCCCTTGTATATACGTTCCATTCTTTTTATTCACCTTTCCATATTTTCCCCCTTCCATAGGGTTCTTTATTTTCAAAACAAATGCCATCATATACAGTATATCCATATATCCATATATCATATATACAAATGATTAGAGAAATAATTTCCATACATAATGGCTTGACACAGATAATAATCATCACGGCCGAAAACTTTTGTGGCAGATAAAAACAAACATTTATGACAAAATTAGTATTTTAAATATATAATTAAAAAATACCAAACATAAAATACATGATCATGTTTATGTTAGCACATTTCCAACACTCTCAAAATATTTTCTAAAGTAAAACCATTTCTTTTTCAATTTATTCTCTCTGAGATTTGTTTGGTATATATATTTTCCATTTCATAATAACGTTTTACAGCTGATAAAATTATATCATATGATGGTGGTTGATTTCGTAATTTAGCTGAAAATATTTCTTGTCTTACAACCATCAGAACACAGTTGAGTGCATTATTATTGCTACCGCAAAATCCAAACAATTTATTTTGATTTGTAAGTTTGATCCTTTCCCCCGTATTACGAAATATCCAGAACTTTAACTTCGACCATACTTCATTAGAATAGTTACAAAAGCAAAAAACATGTATGGTAGTTTCATCATTGTTACTACAAAAAGTACACTTCTTGTCAGCCACTACACCAAATCTTAACAAACTGTCCTTCATATATAATATTCTATTTAAAATCTTGATTTGAAACCACCTCATGTTGATATCTATTGTTGACTGAAATGGAATTTGACAGTACGAACCTCAAAGTACATCTTGAAAATCTAAAAAACTTGTCCACTTTGTAAGGGCTTTACATTCTTTTACTTTGTTTTTTTTAGCAAAGACTGATAAATATGTAAACAACCAACATTTTTTTCACCACAAGGTGCACGGCTTCGGGAATAATAGGTTCTAAGGCCTTTCCATATTGTTAATGTATGTATTTTATTGACTATAGGGCCCCGATCACAAGCTTAGCTTCTAAAGGGGTCCTAAAACCATTCATTTTTATGATGTAATCAAGTTAATATATGATGATTAATGTACTATTACCAGTCTCTTTATAAAAGATTATATCATGTTTTGTGTGGTTTTGAATAAAATATAAATTATACATGCTTGAAGGAAAAAAATAAATTGTACTCATTTCTTGTGTTGGACATTACCGATTTAGTCAATTTAAAGAGCTCGTATACCTATAGTGGTCTATTGTAAGGTAGGATAAGGTATGGTATTCGTTTATCAACATACAGCAGCCAAAGGCTAAATTGCATGCATGATTTACAGATATTTGATTTTTTTTTTTTTAACTCAGTAAAACTCAGAAAGGGAAGAAAAAAGGTAAAGGAAAAATGTGGAGCAGAAAAATATTAAAGGAGAATAGGAAAGGAATGTTGAGGGAGAGGGAGTGGAGAGAGAAGGGGAGAAGAGAAGGGAGAGTGAGAGAGAGAGAGAGAAAAAAAAAAGAGAGAGGGAGGGAGAGCGAGAGAGAGTGTGAGAGAGAGAGAGAGAGAGAGAAAAAAAGAGAGAGGGAGGGAGAGCGAGAGAGAGTGTGAGAGAGAGAGAGAGGGAGAGAGAGAGAGAGAGAGAGAGAAACACGAACACAGAGCTGCAAATACAAATTAAAAATGTAATTGAAAAAAGTTATTTCATCCAAGCTAGTGGGAATGCACTTTAAAGGAATTGAATCATAAAAAAGTAATTTGGAGACATGAAATACATATCCACATTAAAGGCAACATTCATCTTCAATTCACTACTATGTGTGTTTTAAAAATCAATGTTCAGATTTTCAGCATTAGAGTTCAACAGTTTGATAATTTGTGGCATTGCGCTTTTTTGTAACGTTGTGTCCTACACTTAAGTTCTCGTAACCTGTTTGATGATTGACTTTTCGGTAGCCAATGACGACAGTTCTTGAAAAGCTGAGTGGAAAAGTCCCAACAAAGACCATCTCTCCTTTCTTTGAGCGATACCAGGTTGCAAGTGCCACACTGCACAGCAGTACTCAAGGATCGGCCTGATGTATGCATAATGAGGTGAATACGGTTAAGAGGTCCATTGTAGGCATAGGAAAACGTTTGAGCCTCCTCAAGATATAGAGCGTTCTTGCGCCTCTGGATGTGATATAATCGACGTGATCTGTCCAACGAAGATCGTTCCTCACGATCACGCCAAGCAGTTTTACCTGCCGACTTTTCGGGTATGAGTTGATCAAGAAGCTTTATCTCGGGTGGAGGCTGTTGGCGACGCGCGAAGGAGATTTGCATGACCTGACATTTGTGTATACGTCATGGACTGTGGACCGAATAGTTTGCAGTTCGAGTCCCGCCGCGGCAATAATGTCCTTAACTAATGGTTAAAGAGCTCGTACCGAAAGTGGTCTAATGTATATGACCGATGTTAAATGTGTACCCGTTAGGATGCGAATGTTGATTTGGTTGGATTAGCATGTAAGCACTCAGGCGCGTACGCAGGATTTTTTCAAGGGGGGGTTTTAACATTTATAAATCGGTCCGAAAATTTCGCAACGACTCAGCCAGCCGCTGAATAAGCGGGGGGGGGGGGGGGGGGGTAAGAGGACACTTTTTTTTTTTTTTTTTGGTCTCGAAATTTGGAAATTTGACATTTTGCTCCGTTGGGGGGGGGGGTAAGGTCACCTTTTTTAGGTCGGCCATGGGAATAATTTTTTTTTTTTTTTTTTTTTTTTTTTTTAATAATTAAAATAATTTAGGGGGGTTTACACACAAAAATTTTCCAAAGGGGGGGGGTTTAACTCCCCAAACCCCCCCCCTGCGTACGCGCCTGTAAGCACTTGTAAAATGGCGCCTGGTCGGAATACCCCCAGGGAGCGGAGCGTGTGTAATATAATGTGAGGATTACAAATTGAATATAATGACCGGGGATATAATATTTACAATGTGCAGCGCCTTGAAACGTAGTATCAAGCGCTCCACAAAATAATGTTATTATTATCTTACAACTTTAACAAATCATAAATGTCTAATTAGTTGTCCGATTTCATTCAAACTTTCACCAGTCTACTTCTCTGATTCGTTTGCTTACCTCTAGAGTAGTTTTCTTTTAAGGTCAGATTTCCCTTTAAAAATAGCATGACTGTTCAAAAACATTAAGCTGAAAGATGTTAAACTTCCGTCTTCCAGTCACTGGGGGGGGGGGGGGTCGGGCTTGTACCGAATGGTCGTCGTTTGGTGCTGCGCAAAGATTCAATCAGTTTAATTTTGGCCATTACAAGAAGTGGGCTATTGATGTAGACATATACTCGTAGGTGAATATGCATGTGACACATGTTTTACACATTTTAACATAATAGCAGTGAAGGGATGTTCCTTTGTCTACTTGAGGAA